CGTGCAATCCATGTACATGGGGACAGTTTTCCATTGGCTAATTAATTACACTACATATGCCCCTAGCTCACAAATTATGTTAACAATTTACTTGTAATCTTCCTTTTAGAGTGCACATGTACCAAAAGTGCACCCCGGGACTACCCAGATTTTGGCTTGTTTTCCCAAGACTTGGGCCACTTTCGGACCTTTACGGCCAACCCTCCGAGCGAGCACTGGATAAAACTCTCAGTAGTCTTTAAATTAATGCATGCCGTAATGAAAATTCACCAATTAATATAAGGCCATTCACCTTCCCTCTTGGATACACACATTCTTCTAGGGCCTGCTGATTTTCAGCTGAAGTTCCTCTGCAACTGACCACGTGTCCTAGTTTCGCATTTACAACTCTGTATATGCTAAGCATATACCCACATGTTGTACATCTTTTTTTCAGCAAGCACTTTGCTTCACTGTAAAGGTGTCTCATATTTATTCTCATCGTTTTCTACATAAAATATCATATCAAAAAGGGAATATCTCAGTTTTTTAAGAAAATTGGTCTTTAGTACTAAACTATCACCTGACACCAGACGTGAATAATAAAACATGCATTTTTCATTCAAAATATGATAATTACCTAAATCAAATGAACAATGCAGAAGAGCCTACTTATAGATAAACTCTGGAAAAAACTGATCTGAACCAGGAATTTATAAACCGTTATGGAAATCGGTTACACATTGTCTTAAAATATTTTTAAAAGATGCTTGAGTTTCTGACTGACAATATCTATGTGGTTTTTAGAGTCCAGGTTTTAATACAATCAATTAGACTTCCCAGAGGTACCAATTGCGCCCCGTTATTAGCAGACCTATTTTTGTATTCATAAGAAGTTTAGTTTGTTCAAAATCTTTTACCGACCTTTAGATATATATCGACGACGTATTGTCGATTTACAATGGTAATTTCCATTCTTATGTCGATTCGATATATATTTGGAGAGCTTGAGATAAAAGATACCACAGAGTCTAATACATCTGTTTCATAATTAGATATTTGACTTGAAAAAGACGTAAATGGTTATCTAACAACCACGCTCTATGATAAACGTGATGGCTTTAATTTTTCTATCGTCAACAATTAGCAATATACCTTTACCACCTGTATACGGAGTTTATATATCTCAGAGGATTCAATTCGCAAGAGCATACTCTACGTATGAAAAATTTCTAAAACGAGGTAAATTATTGACATACAAGTTGATGAACCAAGAATATCAGCAGTCTCGTTTAAAGTCATCATTTCGTAAGTTCTATGGTCGATACAATGACCTTGTCAGCAAGTACAATTTATCATTGGGTTAAATGCTGACTGACGTTTTTCATACTATTTGTAAGTTCATTATTTATATACAGAATTGACGATGGATTTTTACATTATTTCCCGATCATGGCAAGAAGCACACGGCTGGTGTGACCGGTCAGTTGGAGATGCTCACTCCTCCATGGCACCTGATCAAACCTCTGATGTTTTGGAGGTCCGTGTTTGCTCAGCTCCTATTTTGAATTGTTTTATGGACTTTTGATCTTAAATGCTGTTCGTTTTCTGCATATGTTTCATTAAAGACATGCATTATTAGAAATGTTATCACAATAATTTGAATTTGCAAATATTAGTTCACAAATAATATTTATTTTATGATTGACACAAAAAATCTTGGATTGCTATACGACCCTTTAATATGTTTTTACATAATTAAATGTCTTTTGGTTGACATCTGCCCGACTACCCAAAGACTAGTTTTTTAATAGAAATTTTATTTTCTTGAATTGAGGTCGTTCGCCCAGCTTTCCTGCTATTTTTCTTTCGAACAAAATGCAAAGGTTGGATAATGACAGGGAATAAATACTTCTGTCTTATATAATCAGGGATTCTGTGTGTTTTAATTCATAAATGAAACACGCTTGCCTCATTATTGTGTAATGATGTATATTGATCCTACTCTCCCGAAATTAGTAATTTTAAAAATTTTCAAATATGAGCAGCATACACGTATCTTATAAAAAAAAAAGAATTTAATGTCATATGAACTTAGAAAATAAAAATAAAAATGTTTTACTTAAATTAGAAGATTATTTGCATCGACTTTTTAAGTTTGTAATAATTTAAAAAGACGTAAGCAATAAAATTTTATTTTGAAAAAAAGCATTTACATTGGCATTTATAAAATAGTTTGGACTCATTTCAGTTTTAAAATGTGAAAAAGAATAAAGATTTTTATAAATCCCATTCCATTTAAATTGCATCATTTAATATTACATTGTACTTGTAAATATCCTAATGGATCGATACTTTCATTTTCAAAATGGTTGGGCAAATTTCAAAAAAAAAAACTTCTACATAAGAAAAGCAGCAATCGCTATGACCTTTAACTAATATATCGACTATTTTTGTCAATAAATAATAGTTACATTTCACCAGTATCACCAGTATGGAAATAACCTAAGTACATTTATCCATGGGTCATTTTCATACTGGTTTCTCACCTTGACCTTAAAATAAAAGGGAAAAAACAGCCTGGCGCAGCATCAAATTCGATGTTTTACTAAAAATAGAGGATAATAATAATACTTACAACAAAACTGTAAAACAAATGAGACTTCCGATTATCTGAGTTAAGGTGATAAATACTGAATGCAACTTGTAATTAATTTATCTCTATTGTATCTTCCACTTGATAGTGTTACCATAATTTTTAGCTCACCTGAGCCGAAGGCTCAAGTGAGCTTTTCTGATCACATTTTGTCCGGCGTCCGTCTGTCCGTCTGTCTGTCTGTAAACTTTTCACATTTTCGACTTCTTCTCAAGAACCGCTGGGCCAATTTCAACCAAACTTGCCACAAAGTATCCTTGGGTGAAGGGGATTCAAGTTTGTTCAAATGAAGGGCCACGCCCTCATTCAAGGGGAGGTAATTGGGAATGAATGAAAATTTAGTGGCATATTTTAAAAATCTTCTTCTCAAGAACCACTGTGCCAGGAAAGATGAAACTTATGGGAAAACATCCTCAGGTAGTGTAGATTCAAGTTTGTTCAAATGATGACCCCCGGGGGTAGGGCGGGGCCAAAATGGCCGACCAAACTTTTACATAGAAATATATAGGAAAATTCTTTAAAAATCTTCTTCTCAAGAATGACCAAGCCATAATTCATCATATTTATATGGAAGCATGCTCAGGTAGTGTAGATTCAAGTTTGTTCAAATGATGACCCCCGGGGGTAGGGCGGGGCCAAAATGGCCGACCAAACTTTTACATTGAAATATATAGGAAAATTCTTTAAAAATCTTCTCAAGAATGACAAAGCCATAATTCATCATATTTATATGGAAGCATGCTCAGGTAGTGTAGATTCAAGTTTGTTCAAATGATGACCCCCGGGGGTAGGGCGGGGCCAAAATGGCCGACCAAACTTTTACATAGAAATATATAGGAAAATTCTTTAAAAATTTTCCTCTCAAGAATGACAAAGCCATAATTCATCATATTTTTATGGAAGCATGCTCAAGTAGTGTAGATTCAAGTTTGTTCAAATCATGACCCCCGGGGGTAGGGCGGGGTCAAAATGGCCGACTAAAGTTTTTAAAGATATATGTAGGAAAATTCTTTAAAAATCATTTTCTAAAAAATAGCAAATCCATGATTAATCATGGGACTACTTTTGGATATAAACTTTACAATAAAAAGCCATTTTCTACTTTTTCCTACCCTTAGTGCTCAGGTGAGCGATGTGGCCCATGAGCCTCTTGTTATACATGATATTTATTCGCAGTTTATGAAAATTGATCACAGATACGATTATACTGACCACCACTATTGATTGATTGTAAATTGTTTAACGCCTAGTCGGCAATATTTCAGCCATATTTCTGCAGACCACGGCTAACACAAAATCACCTATACTACCACACAGGAGATTAAACAGCTAAAGAACACTATTTTAAACAAGAAGACTTTCATTAATCTAATATCTTTTTTGTTGTGTGTATCAATAAATCTGGTTTAATTTAGATTTATTGATTTTAGATTTATAAAAAAAATACATGGTTTAAAAGATAATCAAGGATAGACAACCCTTATAGCTTAGGTTGTGCTTAAGACACTGTGATGAAAAATTTTGATTTTTACACTAAATTCAAACGTTAAAGGTAATTATAACAAATAATGGTAAATCTCATAAAAAATTATAAATCGATTACATGGTATATAAATGTGATAGAACTATCATGTATTCGAAAGCCAATCCCTCCACCTAAATAATAAGTCATTAATTTTAACTTTATGAAGCAGTAATTTCATTATATAATTAAACATTGTGGATAGGGGACAGGGGTCTATGCAAAATATCAAACAAAATATTTTTGGTCATGTTGAAGGAATTTTCAGGATTTTTAGACCATGACGCAATTCATGACGTTATAATACATGGACTAAGAGAAAATTAAGTCATTATTAAAAGATATGTAGTCTTAAAGGGTCCAGTTGATATTTAAGGTATTTCAACTAACACCGATTAGTTAAATTTTTTTACGAAATTCACAGGACCAAAGAGGGGCGGGTAAGTGTACATTTCTTACTGGACATTGCAAGATAATACCTTTACAAGGTTATGCACCCGCCAGAATTGATTGATTGCAAATCATAATGTACCTAATTACCTGATGGTAGCAGATAGTTTTCCCTTTCACCTTTATGGCCCACCAGTGAGTAGATTATACTTTGATATTCTTCTTGACAGCTTCTTGCTGCTATGTTATATAGATAATGTGACAGTAATTATGTACTCAGACATTATTTGGCTATTATTTAAGTGTCAAATAAGGATTTTCCAGTTAACCTTCTGATCAAACAATTCTTGTGATATAATGATTTGTAATTTAACCAAAAAACCAAAAGTTATGTCATTTTATTCCGCTAAAATCATTATTCTCACTCCAATTTGATTTCAAATTAAGGAATCTGGAAGATATGGGTGAGGGAAGCTTTATATGTCTCATAACTTTATTGTTGTTGTCGAATCAGTTTGGAAGTGTTAATACATTCTTATATTTTGATACGGAGTGTGTACAATGGAAAATTATTCTCGGCATTTTATCTTCTTTACTCCTATCAGGTACGTCATTCACTAAAACATCAATACGTGTTGTTAAGCAAATGCCTTTTTGCAAGTTAATTCATCAATTCTAAAATGAACACATCAGAAAGCTACTAATAACTGAAGTTCATACATGCTACTTTAATTTGTGCTCTTGCAAAATTGATTAACAGATTTATTTTTTGGTTACTTCAATGCTTGATAGAGATGCCTTTTAACTTAGTATAAGTGAATTTGTCAACAACAATGTTAAAAAAACAAACAAACTTCTAATTTCATAGCGTTTAATTCTCTTTTACAGGACAAAACGTTTCAGATGAAAACCTTGCGATTGTTATAACAGTGATCTTTTTTATACCATGCCCAAATATTCAAGGAACAGGTAAACTAGAATTATTACATATTTACATTCATGTAGATATGTTTGATAATTTTTTTCTCCCTTTGCATTTATTTTTAAAAGAAAATGGATTCATAAAAGAAGCATAAAGATGTAAACTATATGTGATACTAGAAATGTTTTGTTTAAGTTTTGGAATTAAGTTTCATTTATTTTTTATTCTATAGATCCGAACAACTCTAGAACTAGATCACTAGCATCAGCGGAAATCATAACCAGTGACAAGAGTTCTATATCCACTGTAACTCCTGTCGCGCCTAATTCTCTCCTGACGTCTGCTACCCCTACCACGCCAAACGTCCCCTCCACGTCCGTCCACCCAGTCACTACTGTGACCCCTTACCCAATCATTCCAGTATTATAGAAATTCCAATTTACATTATAATGAGAAGCTGATGGTCGTTCAAATATAAGGTCTAATAAATATGCAAAACAGAAAACATCTTCCTTTTTTATCACACAGGTATTTGAATGAAAACTGAGATAGGACGGGTGTAGTTCTCCTTTTTTCAGACAAATTCTTTGTACATTTTTTGATTTATTCAATTTCAGAGCTTCTTGAGAGAGTTTTATTAACTTCTTTCTACGAAATGCCCTCTTTCCTGATCAGTAAATAGGGCTCACGGTGGATGTGACCGGTCTACAGGGGTAGCTCACTCCTCCTTGCGACCTGATCCCACCTTTGAAATTTCCAGGGGTCTGTGTGTATGCCCTATCCAAAAGATTTATATTGCTTAAAGGTTTTATTTTATCGATCACTGTTGGTTTGCTTCACCCCTTTTCATACTCATCAATATTTTTTTCGTGTTTCAAAGTACACATATTTATAAAAAATCTTTTTAAAACGAAATCAAATATGCAATGTTTATGCCTGAACACTTTATTGGCGTCATCCACACAAGTTATTAGTTATAGTATCCTTCATCGCCGGCGGCTATGTATATACAGTAATTAACCTGTAATTATCCAGTACACGGCTATTCTCACTTATTGTGACCATCAGTTTTAGGTAGACTTATCGACTTCTTTTCAACGAACATCGTTAAATTATGCTGTCTTTATCTATACTTTACTATATTATCACACGTACATAAGCGAAAATCCAACATGCATAGAAATACCGATATCAGGTTATGGTTTTCGATGTACAACGCAAGTAAGTTTTGATGTAATAGAGGTTTGAAATTTTGTTGGTTTTTTTTTAAATTGAGAAAATGGAGTATATTTGGATGAAATATATGGAAATAACGAACAGTATTCAAGCTCAAAAGTTCATTAAACAATACAAGATTGGAGCAGAGTAAACAATTTCAACAAAACCAGAGGTTTGATCAGGTGCCATGAAGAAGTGAGCATCCCCTGCCATTCCCTAATCCAATTTATACCACTTCTTGAATTTGCTCTAGCATAGTGCGTCTGGATCTTCTCCTTTGCAGCAGTTACCAATATTTGTAAGATCACTTGCTGGACCATACAATGTATCTATGTTTGTTAGGTTTTTGTTAAATTTAGAAATATAGTGTATGTTTTTCAAACGAATTAATAAGATAAATAAGTTCTGTTGCCATTTAAGGAATCGTGTATTTCTGCTTTTAGGTCTTTATTATAATTAATTTAAGGTCATCATTTTGAAAATAAGAACCATGTGTGTGACAACTATATATCGCCTGCATTAATGTATCAAACAGAACTGTAGTTTAATAAAAGAAAATGAGCACTTACAAAGAAGGCTGAAATCTGTTATCATTTAAAGGATTGTGTTAACAAATATAACTTATCATTGGGTCCATATTTAGGCTGAGTTTCTCAAATCAAGTTGTAAGACCTTTTTAATGCTAAATTTGATTAAGGAATAATATTCTATCTATCTGATCAACAGCTCTTGGCGGGCGTGACAGGTTGAAATGAAATGTTTACTCCTCCAAGGCAGCTAATCCCGTCTCTGATAATTTCTGAGGGTGAGAAATTGATACCCTGTTTACAATTCTCTATTATTTGTAAACTGTTCAGCCAGTCATTATCTTCGTCTTCTTTACTGTAATTACGGAAGTAAATGAATATTGTTCTAAGTCAAGTTTTAAAGAACTTTCAATGATCATGATGGGCAACTTTAGGACAATATTGACAAAGATGTCAAAATTGATCAGGAAATTTGGTAAAATTTTAACAGGCACTAAAACGTAGTTATGCTCTCTCGACCAATCGGAGTTTTGTGGGTTTTCTTGATTGTTATAAATGTGTTGGTTTGTAGCTTTGTTTGTCAAGAAATTCAGTACAGGTATACAACAGATCTGATATATATTTTGTTTACGTAATCCATGAAATTCCTTTTAAAAGACTTAAGATAGATGGAGAAGGTCTGTCATATATTCATTACTTGAGAACATAACTGGATATTTTTTTTAAAATAAAGTTTGGTCACAAATAAATTTCAATTTTAAATATGCTGTATTATATTTGCTTCCATGCTGGTAAAAATCAATCTACGAAGACAACACAGGCCAACTAACAATAAATTTATTGACAAACGAATAAAATCAGCTTTTAAATCCTCAGATTTCCTTATTTTTGCAGTAAAATTCGGCTGTTACTTGCTTATGGAGTTTTCATGAGGTCTTCCAAAGTAAAAGGTGAAGAAAAAGAATAGTGATCGACCTAAACAAAGACTTTAAACAACATAAATCTGTGACGAGGGCATAAACACGGACCCCTAAAAATGCAAGGAGTGGGATCTGGTGCCTAGAAGGAGTAAGCTTCCCCTGTCGACCGGTACACCCACCATGAGCCCTATATATAGATAACTTAGACTGAACTATTTGTAGAAAAATTCGAAAAAAAGACAATGGTTTTAAACTGCTATAGTAATCAGCTAAAATACGACATAATGATAGCTTATATTAATAACAAGATTTGTACAATACCAGTAGTATTTACTGATTTTAAATGAGGTTGTTGAAACCCCTGTAACATCAACTTATTAATAATCATCCTTTATAATAAAATGTTAGTGATATTGACCTTAGACACTTGACATAGATCCTTATAATTACATATCGACTTACATTGAAGTCCATAATTGTATATTATGCTAGATAAAAGATGTTTATGGTAGCCTAAAAAGCTATATTATGAACATTATGACTTTGAATTTTATAACGTAAAACACTCCTTTTTAGCTAACTATATATCATTAACATATATATTTAAAGTTTTTTGTATCCCAGTTAATTCGATGTGCAAGAGCATGCATTGCGTAGGAGCTTAGCTTATCTTCAGTGTAAGCTGATGTTATAATCACATCCAGAGTCTCGTTTAAAGTCAATATATCACATGTTCTATGGTTGAAACAGTGACTTTGTCAGCAAAGAGAATTTATTTTAAGGAAAAAAATATTAAGAGGCTATTTTATTCAGATTGTAAGACCATTATTTTGTACTGAATTATCTAAGGATTATTCCTGTTCCCTGACAGATTGGTGTGACTTATTCTTTCATGGCACCTGATCCCACCTTTCTTGTTTGGTTCTCTCCAAGTTTGTATTGTTTGTATAATATTAAGACATATTGGTTTCTAAAATGAAAAGGGTGAAAATGACGAATGGCGATCGATCTCATAAAAAATCTTTAACAATACAAATTTGAAAAACAGAAGTGGATTAATGTGCCTATAACGAAAAAGATTCCCTTCCAGAAACATCCATCGCTATGTACTGATCGAGCAGATGGAACGTTCCGTTGTCTAATTTAGTACAAACACAAAGGTCTTCTTTTGGTATGAACCAAGTCAGCCAAAGACGACGCAATGATAGATTATATTCGTTAATAATCAAAGAAATTACAAAATGCCGACTTGAAACAATGCTCTGTAAATCCTAAAGCATCGCTGTGTTGTTGCACAATAAAAATTATTTATTATCACAAAGAAAATGTATTTATTGTTATGAAAAGAAATATATATGATACAAGGTTTAACTTATCAAAAAATTTTTACTTGAGAATCAAAACTATATATTACACAGAGGGGATTCTATATTATCAAATAGGCTACTATATTTGAATTTGGAACTCCTTGATACCCTTTCAGATATAATTATATGAATTCTTATTCATTGTTATATGAACTATTTATAATGTTGATTTAAAAATTACATCAGTGGTATTTCTTCTAAATGTTAGTAGCCTGCGTCGGTTTAAAAAATGATCGTACATAAGTCTTGCTCTTTGCGAGTTTGGAGACATTAACTCCATATGCAGGTGTTGGGAGAATATATTCAATAAATAAGTTGACAATGAAAAAGTTAAAATCATCTCATTAATTATATAATTTAGCTGGACTTTTCGTCTTTAGTCAATATAGCATCAACACATGAGACGTTTGTGACTGAATCTGCGGTGAATTTATGTCAAGTTTACTATAATATATCGAGTGGACATGAAGATACTAGTAACTATGTTAAAACGTCATCATCATATCTTTGAATGCCTATGTCTGCCAATTTATTATATATGATATATAAAGATAACGACAAGTATTTATTACTTACGTTCAATTAAACAATACCGATCAGTAGTAGAGCAAAACGCGGACCTAAAAAGCATCAGAGAAATGATCGGGTGATTCTCATTGGCACCTGATCCCACCTCTGATGGTTTTGAGGTCCGTGTTTGCTCCACTAAAATTTTGGAATGTTTCATGGACTTTTTAGTTCGAATACTGTTCGTTGTCTCCATATATTTCTATGAAAGTGAACATTCCCTGCCAACCGGTCATATCCGTTGTGTGCTCCTTGTCATGATTGTAGAAAACGAAAAATCCTTATATATTTAAGGGTGTAAATAATGACCTATCATTAAGGAAGCAAAACGTCAGTCAGTATTTGAGTTTAAGATAGGTTGTTGTATCATTGTATCGACCATAAATCTAAACGAATATATGACACTGCTGCATCGATTCAACTGAAAGGTATAAACCTCATCTGCAGGTGAAAAGTTCTTATTGTTACATAAATAAGATGAGGAGACGAATGAAAAGTTAAAGTCATCTGTTTCATACTTGGATATTTTACTTGAAAAAGACGTTAATGGTAATCTAACAACCAAGTTATATGATAAACGTGACGACTTTAACTTTTGTATCGTCAACTTCGCTTATTTATGCAGCAATATACCTTCACCACCTGCATACGGAGTGTATATATCCCAGTTGATTCCGATACGCAAGAGCAGGCTCTACGTATGAACAATATCTGAAACGAGGTAAATTATTGAGTTGATGAAACAAGAATATCAGCAGTCTCGTTTAAAGTCATCATTTCGTAAGTTCTATCGTCGATACAATGACCTTGTCAGCAAATACAATTTATCACTGAGTTAAATGCTGACTGACGTTTTTCATACCTATTGTTAGTCCATTATTTATACACTGAATTGACGATGGATTTTTCCGTTATTTCACGATCATGACAATGAGCACACGGCGGGTGTGACCGGTCAGCAGGGGATACTCACTCCTCCATGGCACCTGATCCACCTCTGATGTTTCGGAGGTCCATGTTTGCTCTGCTCCTATTTTGTATTGTTTTATGGACTTCGATATTGAATACTGTTCGTTATCTCCATATCCTGCTTTTATCATTAAATTTATATTACCATTAACATCTTTTTTTCAGCATAATATCAAATTGTGTGTGAAATGTGTAAGACTCTTTGGTTTCTATCGTTTCAACTTTTCAAGCTTACGTGGGTATATCTAGTCGACATAGGAAGAAGAAACTATTGTTAATTGATAATACGTCTTCAATATGTCAAAATGTCGAGTTGAAGGTCACACAAGTGTTTACTTTTTATGCTGAAGCTTTTGAATATGTTTTTCTTCGTATGAATATAAAAGTAGGCTTAATAAAAATGGGGCGCAATCGGTACCCCCGGAAATTTCAACGGATTGCTTGAATACCTCATCTCCAAAACTACAAAGAACATTCTCAATCAAACACGTGGATCATCTTTTTAATATCAACATAAGAGTACATGTGAGCACAAAAGAAATGTTTTTTAAGCAAAATAATTTTGGAGATGTCTAATTTCAAGGTCAGTTTATTTACGAGTTCAATTTGTATTGAAACAGAAGCTTTTTATGATAATTATATATATACACTCGCACACATACATTTTAATTAAGAAATTTCTTGTTCCCCTAAAACTTCTAAATATCAATTTTTCTTTTGCAGAAAATGGATAATTTGCCATCGACTTCATCATATGATAACTATTCTAGGGCGATAAACTATTTTTTAGCGAGAGATTGTTCAGGTCAGGTGCTTACCTAGTTATAAAAGATTGATATATCTCTAGATAACAGTGAAAGTTGAATTAGAAATTCAAAATGAACCAATCAAGTAAAACTTTTGATAACTTCCTTAAAGATCTATCGTCTTTTAACGTATATAAGAGAATTGTTTTTTAAAATTTTCTGTAGATTCTTATCATTATATCAGCATGGAAAGATATTTGATATTTTTAGTTGTATATCGCTTACTTTTTACATGGGTCTTCACTCTCAACATCAATGTAAGTGTTTGGAATATCGGATTGCAACTTAGCGGCATCGTCTATGTTTGCGTCTTTGTGTGTTAATTATAAGAATTCCAAAATTTCCTTTTTTCTATTCAAAATAAAGCAGAAATTTATTCTAAATCCGTGAAGCATTTAGGAAATATACAAAGAAAATGCCCGATCTTGTATTTTATAATTAATGGAATAATTTCTCACCAGGAAAGTATTTAAATTTGGTGTTTTTTGAAAAATGTTTTATATTTTACTTTTTCTATATTGAAAAACATATTTTATTCTTCAATCTAGAATCTTGTTATTTCACGCCCTAATGGAGTTATGTGTTAAAGTTATTTATCAAATATTTGAAATTGTCATCTTTTTTTTTATTTTTTTTTTTCCAAATATCACTTCGTGTACACATGTCCATGAATGTTTTGTACGCATATTTTATGAAAACAAATGCAACTAATAATTACAAAATATTTTAGTTATTTTAATTTCTTTTTTTTTTATATTTTTGTCAGTTTTATCTAGATTTCTACTGTTTACTTATTAATTCATTTACATATTTTTCTATTGATATATTTTAAAGATGTCAAATTGGTGCAAAAGTTCCCCATGTGTCAATGGTAGATGCGAAAACATAAAAAACGGATACATATGTAAATGCCAAAAAGAGTTCACAGGACGAATATGTGAAAAACGTATGATATATTGTTTCTAACCAAAGATTATTTATAACCTTGAGAGATTAAGAGATTAACATTCAATTTAAAACAAAGAATTTTGTTAAAATCAGTAAATTGATGTTTTATGTATTTTATGAAACAATCTAAAAAATCAATAGAAAAGGAGAAAATTTATGGTTGCAAAGTACTATGCAAAAAAATTATACATAACAACATCAATTGTTTTTATGTACATGTAGATCGTTGTAATGGTTTTCCAAGCTGGACACTGTATGGGAACAGCTGCTTTAACTGTAGAGGAGATAAAAGAACTTGGCAAAATGCCAGAGCAGACTGTCATCTAGAAGGGGCGGATCTTGTGTCTATTACAAATGCGGGCATTCAGGGCTTCGTGCAAAGTAAGAGTACTCGTTTGTCCCCGTTTAGTTTCATTATCACACACAATGTTTTTTTCTGATCTTGGTGATTTAAATTAATTGGTTTACTAAAATGGTAGATTTTTGCTCATTTCAACAAAGCTGGATCGGGTTTAACGATATACAGAGAGAGAATAATTTCATATGGCTTGATGGTTCTAAGGTATATATTTATTTGATATCTGTCATAAATGAATGTATTTTCCCCTCCATTTTTCACTTCCTATTGAGATAAAAATCAGATAATTTATCAATGTTTAGTTGGGCAGCTTTACGAACTGGAACCCTGGTGAACCCAACGATATGAATGGGGAAGATTGCACCATCATGTTTGGTACCAATGGTCTATGGAATGATATGGACTGTTCAGCAAACTTGACATACATGTGCCAGAAAAGTGCCGGTATAAACATTACTTGAATTTCATAAATTTCGTTATCGTATGTGATTTTCATTTTCTGTCTAAAGAGAATGTAATCATTTGTAAAAGTTGGAAATGATAGACAGTGATCAATCTCATTATTTTAGTAAGCAATTCGAAAACTTAACAGGGCAAAACAAAGACCATCGGAACACCAGAGATGGGATCAGGTGCCTGCGAGAGGTAAGCATCCCTTCCGTCAGAATCACTTTTACAGTTTTCAATTTATTTTCAGACCTTGATGACTGTCTGTCTTCACCTTGTAAAAATGGTACCTGTGTTGATCTTTTCGGAACCTACCAATGTATTTGTCAACCCGACTTCACAGGGAACAATTGTGATATAGGTAATGTACACTATGAAAAATTATTTTCTCTCTTCTTGTTACATTACAATAATTAGAAAAATATGACCGAAATTGCAATGGGCAGCGTGTTACATTTTTATATCATTGATACTTGTCAAAATTGCGAAAATTGATATATGTACTAAGTATAAATTCTTTTCTATGCTTTTGCAAAATAAGGTAGATAAGTGAAACAAACATTCTGTAACATTATTTTTTAAAATTATGAATATATGTGACATTAATCTAGAAAACAGAGTAGTGAAGATTTTTTTTAAATAATGAATAGAGGACGAAGCTTTGAATAATGAAGATCGTCATATATATTTAAGATATGAATTCGTGTCGAAGTCCCCCTTGTTTACAAGGCTCCTGTGTAAACTAAATCAACAAATTCCAGTGTCAGTGCCACCCTGGGTTTGACGGTGATCGATGTGAACACGGTATGTCATCTTGGCTTAGTGATTCTTTAAATTTTATTTTCCTGTTGTTTTTTAAACTACTTCTGCTCAGATTTAATTTTTCTTTTTAAAACATAAATGAAAATCTTTTTTTATTAATTCATATTTGTTCATCAACTTAATATTATTTATTAACATGCTACTTTGAAAAAAATATCATAATACGTTAAATACGAGGGGCTATCAAAAAGTTCGTGGACTAGCGCCATAAAATTAAAACCGCTTTAGGTACATCAATGAATTTTAAAATATTTAGTTATCATCATCTTTTCTATCTTTAGAATAAATCACAGAGCATAAATTTTACTTTTAAATAAATAAGTAAAGTTTTTGTAAGCAATGGTATGCCCAGGCGGCGCAACCTCGAAAACGACGTTTTTTCGACCTACGTGTAACTAAGGTAAACTATTTTGATATAAACATTTGACGTCCAAAAATCCCGTTAATTCAGTTATGTGTTGGGACACTATTGTTCCATAAAATATGTAATTTTTACCTCATTCAGGAAGGTCTATGAAATGTTATTGTAAATTTTACATGGCGTATCCAAACAAAAATTGCCTTGAAAATGACGTCAAAAAAAGGGGGGGTCATTTTCCAATTTTCTATAAAGTCTAGCCCTTGGAAAACTGGTATACACCTAGGAAATATTTAAACTTGCCACGGAGAAAAAAAATGCATCCAGATTACTTGTTCTTAATACCAAAATAGATTCAGAGAGAAAAGGGATGCAAAGTGAATGTCGATTTGTAGTCAAGTTTTGAAAAATCTATCACGTCAAATAATGACGTGGATCATGTGTTTTAAATGGCTCTATTGAACTCCAAAAAACAAAATATGCTGGCACAACCAAGCGGGGATCTCTCCCAATGTATAAATCTATTTGCAATATTATGATATATGCATTGAAAGCTGTTGTTCATGACATTGTAAAGTCATAAAAACAAGACGGGTTGAAGTCCTTCCTCGTCTCTAGGGAATCTCATCAAAATAAGTGTACGAGGTAGAAGAAGCGGACATTGAAAAATAATGACGTTGTCGGACGTCATGAAACTACGCGGCGACGGCGCCGGGTGATCATATAATGTCGTTTTTATTTTATAATAATTTATGAAATAGTGAACGTATCAAGCTAAAATTTTCAACATTTCTTTTTTTGCTTTTTTTTTTGTTTGTTTTATGTTCTTAATAATTTTTTTTAAGCTCAGACAACATAGTACTAATTTTATAGCCTAAGTCCACGAACTTTTTGATAACCCTCGTACTTCAATGACAGACCAACTTTATGAAATCTTTTTTCATAATATACCAAAGATATAAATGAATGCCAAAGCTCCCCATGTCTCCATGGCAACTGTACAGACCATGTAAACAAATATGAATGCAGTTGTTACCCTGGATACACTGGAACTAATTGTGCAACAGGTAGTTCATTTTTCTTCCTTCATGATTAATGCTTCTTTACAAACAAACCATATTTAGATCACCTGAGTCACCAAGGTTACATTTTGCTATCTGTTATCGTCCGTAGTCGTGTGGATGTGAGTCATGCGTATACTTCTCACATTCTCAACTTCTTCCCAAAAACCACTGGTCAATTTCAACCAACATGCCACAAAGTATCCTTGGGTAAAGACAATTCAAATGAAGGGTCATGCCTTCTTCAAAGGGGAGATAATTGAGAATTAGTGAAAAATTAATGGCATATTTTAAAACTCTTCGTCTCAAGAACCACTAGATAAGTTAAGATATAACTTATATGGTAACATCGTCAGGTAGTGTGGAATAAAAATCGTCAGATCAATGCATATGACCCCCGGTTAGGGTTGGGCCACAATGAAAGATTAAAGTTTCACATCTAAAAGCATAGAAGAAATAATTTAAAGTCTTCTCCCTAGACCATTGAGCTAAGAAAGATAAAACTTATTTGGAAACTTCCTAAGATCTTGTAGATTCATCCTATTTCTCTTGCTTTTGGGCAACAACGCTTCTTCTATCAGTCTATTTTATACTCTATGATTCCTCAATGTAGCCTCTTGTTATTTATTAAACATTGATAAAATGAAACATATGCTCATTTATTTAATGATAATACTTTTAAAGACTTGCAAAAATGTCATACGTGTTTAAATTGAAGATGTCATGACTCGATATATTTTAGTTTGCTGATATTTTCCTGCTAATGCATGATACGGGTATGTGGAATTTCGTCACAAATCAAATTAATGGGGTTTTTTTTATTTTCATGAAACTGTACATATTTTCCAGATATTGATGAATGTTCAAGCTCCCCATGCCTTCACGGTTCTTGCATCGACCAGGTTAATGCGTATAGTTGCATATGTCAACAGGTTTACACTGGAACCAACTGTCAGATAGGTATCACATACGCAGTTCTTTATAATTTGCATATTTTTCATAGTTATTTTTGGATTTAATCATTTTAGCAATTTATTTCAGATATAGGAAAAGTTGCGCCATAAGCACTTGTATTTCGAAGGATTTTCTAAGTAGTGATATCAAAATGCTGAATAAAGAAATATTACTAGTTCCTTTTATCGCTTATCACTTGTATTCTTCTCATTTGAAGTCATATTGTGTATTCTGACTTAGATGTCAACGAATGCATCAGTTCTCCGTGTTCTCATGGCCAGTGTGTGGATAAAATTAACTCCTTCACATGTGACTGCTGGTTTGGATATGAAGGGACGATTTGTGAAGAATGTGAGTGTACTTAACTCCCCAGCTTTCAAGTCTGAAATTTAATCATACTTATTATACTTCTTTCTTTTTTGTCATTGTAGTTAAATATGAACTTTTATGGATTCTATTTATTTGTTTACCGATTCTCTTGGGATTTCTTTCAATACCTCTCGTTGTAAGAGAGAAAAGGAAAAAGTAAGATTTATCATTAATGATAAAGAAACTTTTTAATCTTTAATTCTTTACTCAATATTCTATGTCTTTTTGAAATAACCTTATCTAATATTCAACTTAATAATCATTGTTCTGAAAAAAAAGTAATAGGAAATGAAAACCAATTTAATGTTTCATCTTTTCGTTATAAAGTTTATTAAAGGTGAATTTGGAAAAAGTTCAAATTCACTTTTGTTTTAATCTTCCCAATTTATGTTCCAGATTGAAAAAAGACGACTACGTTCTTTTTGATTTTCCTGAAGTTCTACCTGGGGAATCAAAACCTAAAATTATATTTAAAAAATAAATCAAGCTGAAGTCATGCAATCCTCTCATTTCTAGTCCTCGGAATTCATTTTTTTATATCGTGTATACGTTTGAATAAAAATGACTTGGTCGCTGAATACTACTTATAATTAGATTTTGTCAACGAGGGTCTTCAATAGAGTATGAGAGAGTAGAAAAGCACACAATCATTTTGTTTTATTTCATGAGTTCAACGGACTTTCGTTATTTTGATTTTTTTAATTTTATTCTTGGTTATTTCTAAGAATTATTTTAACTTTTTTTTCCACATGACATCCAATGTAAATGTTACCTTTAAACAAATAAGTACATTTCATTGAATAAGTCCTGTTCATCAAATTTCTGAGTTTTGTTATTCTTATGAATACATATTATCTTATTTAATAGAGGAGTAGTTCAATTTGAGAGCGAAAAAATAAAAAATTTAGGTTTCAATGTAAAACTAGTTGTACATGCCAATTTTACCGATTTTCTTTGATTTGAAAAGTAGGTTTGATTTTAACATACAAGTATTGTCATGACAATGGCCAATGAAGTTATTAAGAAAAGTTCTGAAGTTTCCTCTTACTTCAATGTAATTGAAAAAAAATATATCATAGGGGAAATACAACATCACACAGAATAAATTAAAAATGTTTTAATGGGGATAAATTAAAAACAAACTAGTAGACTTTTACGAGGAGCGTTGACTTATACAGTCGACGACTTTCTTATATACTTGGACAATACACGGAAGTTCTTTTGCAGTAAGTATAATTAGCTCATCATTTGATGACACGGGAAAAAAACGGGCTGAAATAATGCACACAAGAGTTGCTCTTGGCTCATGGAGAATCCGACAACCACCCTGTGCTCAAATGCTGCCCTTCACAAACTGGTGTCCCAAACACCATACCTATTACCACTAGACTTGTTTTCTTATCAATTATCATTTCTGTACCTCCGTACATGACACAGGTTTCAATGTCACTGTAAAAGTCAGTGCTTCTCGAAAAAGTCCAGTACAAATTTCCACAATGAATAAACACTTCACTAAACGATATAATGCAATATTATAGTATCAAAAATTATAATGAAAAGTTTATGAAATGCAGACTTTCAATACTGAAATAAGAAGATCTTTGATATTTTAAAACAAAATCAATTCAAATCAAATTCCACTGTTGGCTTACTAGAAAAACACAGCAAATGTAAATATTTATACATGTAAGTAAAAATCAAATTCCACTGTTGGCTTACTAGAAAAACACAGCAAATGTAAATATTTATACATGTAAGTAATGATTGTGTAAGTAAATTCTTATTTTATTTTTTTTATAAATAAATGCAGGCTTAAAAATGGGACGGAAAATGTCTTTTTAATGGACGATCGGAAACCAAAATCAGCATTTCAATTTGTTTTTATCAAAAGAGATCACTCTAACAATGAAAACTGTTCAAGAATGGCAATAATAAATCTTTACACATTTTATATTTTGGGTCTATGAATAAAGAGGGAAAGAGGAACATTATTTTTTAAAAAGTATGCTTTGCACTCATGCTAATTAAATATAATACACTGTATCAATTTGACGGATATCGCTAACAGACTGATTTCATGGCTGCAAACATTTGTCTTTGTAAATGAAATATATGGATATAGCAGTATTCAAGCTCAAAAGTCCATAAAACAATACAAAATGAGAGAGCGAACACGGACCTGCAGTAAAAAAGCACAAAAATGATTTTGCTAATGATCAATGTCAAGATAAGTAAATTTGAAGTGCTTGATGTTTTGCCGTTACAAGGGAGCTTCGGGCTTTAAAGTCTCATCCGAAGGATCCGCAGCGTTCACTTCAAAATGTTGAGCGCTCGTCGAAGGAACAGTAGCACCTTTTTATCGATTTAGGCTAGTCGCGGCCTCTGCTCGGACCCACGACCTTCCGATCTTGGGGCAGACACTGATACTGAATACTACTACCATGACGATCTAAGTTAATTTCGTATAAAAACAAACTGATGGCTCAAAAATTAAGAAAAAAGTATATGTCAGGTAATATGTAACCAAATGATATGTTTTTATTTGTTTGGAAGTTCATTATAACAAACGAATTTACGATGCTTACTTCAAATGATGTTAAATTAACTTATCTGGCAATAATCTGCCTTAGTAAAAATTCATTGTACTTAGAGCATGTTCTTCGGTTTCAATAAGTTTAGAGACGTAAGCATTAAATGCAGTTGATTGTTGAATATTGGCTTTAACATTGGAGAGCTAACCAATATAAAACAAACTCTTTTGCGATATAAAAATTTAGCTTAAAGATATCAATGGGCCATTTCAAACCCACATTACGTAGCCTAGTAAGAGAGCGGAAACAGTCCTTCCCAACTTGACCAACTACTGCAGAGTTTTCCTTCCGGATTGTTTTTTTTTAATTTCATTTCTTTGGAAAATGAATTTAAAAGAAGATAGTATCTCTCATGAATAAGGTATTTTTTAAAGTAATTTTATTGTACCTCTTATCATCTCCCGTGCTGGTAAATGTCAAGGCCCCTAATATCATAACTTTAACCACTTTTAATGTTTTCTTAACTATTATCAGTTCAAAACCTCTGTAAATAACAAAAAAAAAATCAAAATACTTCGTCAATTGTAAAAATCATTCCTTGACGCAAATCTCCATAACTATATAATAAGGAAAGTTGCAGTAGAAAAGCTGAAAAGCAAAAATAGACGTTTGAGCTTGAATTGTGTTCGTTATTGCTATACCTCAGTATAATCCTATTTGTATGGTTTGTTATTGGTTTTATAAGCTTTTGAGCTTGAATATTGTTCGTTATCTCCATATATTTCATTCAAATATAAACATATTTGAGAATCTCTTCTTTCATTTTCATTTTGATATATCCACAAATGAACTGAAGTAATTAGTCGACGATCGGAATTGAATGGGGCTTTTAAAAGTATTTATTAATACATGCAAACACGCAAGTCTTAACATGTTTGTGTATATATTCATTAACAAAGTCTACAACACTGGGATCTGGAAAAAACCTATCACTTGCCAATGCATAATACAGTATGCATAAACTATTTTTCTGTTTCAACTTATTGATAAGAAAAATCAGATTGTCATAATAGAACTTCTCAACTCCCGGACATGTTAAAGACCATTACGGATCTTCCTGTTTCACGATTAAAAAGTTCCCATTCTTTGAATTTTTGACAAAGTAATATAGCACAATATAGTACAATGAGCTCTTTGAGAGTGGCATGTTATTTTTATTCCTACCTTCCACGCTTTTCTTTATTCCGTGTCCTGTTATGATTACACTCTGTTACACTCTCTAACGCCAGATACCCTTTTAAAAGTAAAGTAATGAGTGGTTAAAAAACTCTATTATACCATCGAGTTAATTCAATCATTGTTTAAAATTGTGTTATGGTTACCTGATGCAATGTATGGCAGTGCTCTGTTTGACTCAAATGGAAACACAAGGTTGGAATTTATCATTTATTAATAAATAAATGAAGAAGCGATCAAAATATGTCGACACATTAGTATAATTGCAATACCAAACACAAATAAACACATTAGGTAAAAGAAAGAAATACATATAGCAGAAACCATCATAAAATCTTAAAGCTTAATTTCACACTACTCTAAAATTTACAGTAAACAGAATGCGTATTTCAAACCTAAAAAGTGTCAAAGATGGGGACAAAATCCGCCTCCAAAGGGGAGAGGCTTTTCAAAAGAATTATCAAAATAATCATACGAAGAAAATACCATCAGTATCCATGACTGTTTTTATGAAATAAAAAAATATTTTGGACAAACGGGTGATTTTTTCATAGTTTTGATAGGGGAAATATATAGGAAACACTAAGCACTAAGTTTGAATCGACAATATTGCTCTATTTAAAACAATGTACAAACTGGTTGTTGGTATTTTATGTTAGTCCCCCGTGTGGCAATTGTTCTAGAGTAGCGGAGATTCTAAAATATAAATTATCATGTGAAACCTGCCCTAACCCTTCTTAAAGTTTTATTATAGTCTGAAATGATTGGAGCAACACAATCAATATCTTTACATTTGAAAAAATAAAACAACAGGATAATGAACAATAATCTCTCTTAAAGATCCATTTAAACATTACAAATTGTAAGTAGAGCAACTATTGTATGTGATCCTTGTCATGATCGGGTAACCGAAAAAATCCGTGGCAAAATGACCAGAAATTCTAATAAATTATCGCCAGACAACATTCAACCTCATGATGAAACATATGGAGATAACGAACAGTATTCCAGATCAAAAATCCATTAAAACAATACAAAATAGGAGCAGAACAAACACGGACCTCCAAAACATCAGAGGTAGGATCAGGTGCCATGGAGGAGTATAAGCAAACACGGGACCTCCCTAAAAATGATAAATTGTGGTTGCAAATAAGATCAATGACCATAGATTTTGCAAAAAGTTATATTTGAAATGGAACTGTTCTTGTGTTATCATTTAAGTTGTCAATAGCCAGTCTCCTTTCAGAAATTGTTCTTCATAGAATAAACTCTTCTTCTTAGCTTGACGGCATGAAAGCAAGTTTCTCTGATTAAAAAAAAAACATAAATCGTAAAAAAGACGTTGCGGCATTTTATACTAGAAAACTGGAATAATGAAAATATTTTTGTCTAAAATACTAAAAAAGCACCTATTTTCAAGGAACCAAAATCCCGTAGTTTAAGAAAACATGGGGTTTCGCATGAATTTGATTTCGTAGAAGTAAAATTGTTGAGCAGTTATGCATATGACTTTTTTACTTTCGTGCTGCACATTAAATTTTTGGGTTTCTCATCTGAGCTTAACTCATCTCAAACTTTCGGAGTGTTTTAGTTTTAATATTCTACGCAGCTTTGTTATTTCTTTTTATTTCGCCACCACCCATGAGAGTTACATTGTAACTAGGATAAATCTAAAATCAGAAATCTGATTTTGTTTCCATCTGTATCTGACAGTCTGACAGATTTCCAAACTACGATTAAACATTTACTGTCAAAAATTTCTTTTACAAACATCACTTTACTTTGTTGCATCACTTTACTTTGTTGCACAATTCAAATTAGAGCAAAAACGGATGATATATTTAGAAATACAAACAAAAATCCACTGAACAAAAGATTCCTTTAACACGAATCAACAAACAAATGTAAATTTAAAAAATCAATGTAAAATCTAAGAATGCTAAGGTTGTCAAAATACAAAATAAAAACTGTTGTATCCTTGTTTTAAAATATATGTATGTAAAGCATTTAATTCTTGTCTTAATACATGGGGGTCATTTTGGAAAAAAATATTCCTTGATCATTTAGTAACACTTCTAGTATTTATCAACAAAGGATTTTTTTGTATTTTAGTGGAATCCACTTCAGTAAATTATATTTTATTTTGAAATGGGGTTTTAGCGAACCTTATTCATTTGGCTATTTTTAATTTCATACAATTATTAATGCATGGTGCAAGCATTTATATGCAGATTATTATTTTCAAAAGAGGGGTAAACGGGTCAGGGATAATGATTATGAAATAAGTTAACCAATCACGTTACACTCGGGATAACTTCCTGTATTTACATACTTTTAAGAAAGACCGAAAATTAATTTTCACTACATATTTATGCGTATTCTTGTCATTAATATGCCGTTGGGAAGATATCTGATGTATTGTTTTGTATTATACCTAATCACAACAGTTGTCTTCCCTGTCTACAGCAATGTAAGTGATTTGAAGACTAAATGTCAAATGTGTTCATATCATCTGTACTGTTTAGAATGGCAAAATCGTATTAAAAGTTTTTCCTAGAAATAATCTTTAATGAATAACAATAATTTGATATCCTGAATTTTTCTATTTTTCTACAAGTTGATATCAAAGTAATCATTTTACGAAATACTATGTAACTTCTTATGTTATAACATAAAAGCTTTTCATTCAATAATTATTTTTTAGTACTAACAGGCTATGTAGGTAAAAGGGAAAACTCAAATATTTTGTATAAAATAGCTTTTTATATAAAAGCTAATGAGAAAGCGTGGTTATTTTTTATGTTTACCTCATAAATTCTACCAAATTATATTAAACTATATATATACCTGATAATTCTCACACCCAGACGTTTTGTATTTTTAAACATCACGGAAACAAAAAAGATAATTATAAAAATTACTTCATTTTCATCAGTGTTGTCGGCAATGCAAATTAATTGCTACACTTGTTCTTAATTTCCAATATATTTAGTCATATATGTTAACTAATATTTTCATTTGGTTGTATTGTAATACTTCAACAGGCGACAGATTTGTGCCAAAGCTCCCCTTGTGTCAATGGTACATGTGAAAACATAGAAAATGGATATATATGTAAATGTCAACAGGATTTCACGGGACAAAACTGCGAAACACGTAAGATTTATTTGGGACAAAAAAGACACTTAAACTTGGCAAATTTATAAAGGAATAATAGACATTTTGGTTATTAAGAGTTATCTCTCTTTTCAGAGTATCGATGAACCTTAAACATCTTACACATGTTTGTTTTTATTATAATTATCTATTTTAATAAAAGTCCTTCTGTAATTCTTCTTTCGCTGAGAAATGATGAGAATGAAGCGAACGTCCTTTCTCCTTCCAAAACCAGTTAATTTTGTGATCCAGTATTGTGCAGTCTTTCACTTACGTTATGTTTGAATTTCAGAAGTGGTTATACGCAGGCATTTTTCTTAACGTTGGACTTTTTTGTATACTGTAAACTAGCTCAAGAATACTAACCTTGATCTTTTTTAAGTAGATTGATTGTAGGCTACTTTAAATCCTGTTCGATAATTTTTCACTCATATTGAGACTTTTTAAATGGGAAGACAATCTACTGCATTTTTTTTTCATTTAAGTACATTTATCATGATTTGGTAGCATTTTTATTATTCTTCGAACCCGTTATTAATAAGCGAAAATTAATTTCATCATCAAATCAAAAAATCCATGATATTTAACTTGAAAAAGTGACGCTAATAGTAATCTACTAATCGTACAATCAAGCTTTATGATAAAGTGATGAATTTAACTTTTCAATCGTCAACTTTCCTTACTTATGCAGCTATACACCTTCATCACCTGTATACGGAGTTTATATACATGTATCTCAGTTTATTCGATACGCAAGAGAATGCTCTACGTAAGTACAATTTCTAAAGCCAGAGACATTATTGAAAAACAGGTTGATGAAACAAGAATTTCAGCAATCTCGTTTAAAGTCATCATTTTGTAAGTTCTATGGTGGATACAATGACCTTGTCAGCAAATACAATTTATCATTGAGTCAAATGCTGACTGACGTTTTTCATACTAATTGTAAGGCCATTATTGTCGACGGTTTCCCGTGGTTTCCCGGTCAAAACCAGTAGTACAAGGTGGGTGTGACCGTTTGGCAGGGAATGTTCACTCTTCCATGTCACTTGATCCTATCTCTGATGTTTTGCTCTTATCCTTTTTTGTATTGTTAAATGGATTTTTGAGCTTGAAAACTGTTCGTTATCTCCATAAATTTCATTCACACAATACCACAGAACAACTCTCCGGATGAATCTGGTGGCCTAGAAAATTTTCAAATTCATTTCCTTTCAACATCTAAATTCAGTATTTAATTTCATTGCGATATTGCTGAGTATTTTGTTTATATATATATTTTTTTATTTTTTTAACCTTTTCTTTATATGTTCATATTAATGTATATTAGTCGCCGTTTATTTAGATCTCTGTAAAGGTTATCCATATTGGACGTTTTATGAGGGCGATTGCTTTGTCTGTAAAGGAGTCGAAAAAACGTGGCATCAAGCCCGAACAGATTGCCAACTGGAAGGGGCGGATCTTGTGTCTATTACAAATGCAGGCATCCAGAGCTTTGTGCAAAGTAAGTGAAGCACCTGATCTGAATTTTAAACCATACCCTCTTCTTCTGAGTGTTACAGAACCATGTCGTTAAATTGTAGGTCACTGTACAACCCAATATAACTGGATTGGACTTAACGACATACAGACAGAAAATCATTTTGTATGGCTGGATAGTTCTAATGTAGGAATTGCCTTTGGATAATTATTTAATCGTTCAAATCTTACTCAAGATATTTTTTTGCACAGAGTACCGATAATAAGATAATAAGAAAGGCCATTTTCATTTATAGGTGAGCACATTCACAAACTGGTCACCTAGTGAACCAAACGATGCGGCGGGTGAGGATTGTACCCAAACGCGTGGTGCTAGTGGTCAATGGAATGATTTGGATTGTTCGAACAATTTAACCTTTATATGTCAGAAAAGTGCAGGTAGTGACCTCACTTTAATTTTAAGCAGTATCTTTCCGTCTTTTGCAACATAATTGTTGGTTGTTTTAAATATTCTTAAAGGAATTATTATTAGTTTCAGATACTGACGAATGTTTGTCTTCACCATGTGGAAATGGTACCTGTGTTGATCTTTTCGGAACTTACAAATGCATTTGCGAAGCTGAGTTCACAGGAAACAACTGTGATAAAGGTACAGTAGATTTGTGATAACATTTTCTTTGTTACCTGATATACTAGTATAACAACGATTTGTTAAATAAGACTGTCAAATTCATGTTTATTTATTTTTCATTTATACGAAAACAAAATTGAAAAAGTGATCGAGTCATATTTTATTTGAGACATGAATGAGTGTCGGAGTTCTCCCTGTGTTCATGGATCTTGTGTAAACCTTATCAACGGATTTGAGTGCCATTGCCAACCAGGATTTACTGGCAAAAGATGTGAACACGGTACGTCATCACGATAATAATTGGTTGATTTTTTTTAAAATTATGGCTCGCCTATCCTATAAAGAGATTATGATGCAAAATGCATATTCTTTAAACCAATCAATTTATTTATGCCACTAAATATCAATTGTTTACTAAGAATCATTTATTCAATCTCGGCAAAAATAAAATCGTTATTATTATATTTTTAAGATGTGAATGAATGTCAAAGCTCCCCGTGTCGCTATGGTAACTGTATTGATTTAGTCAACAAGTATGAATGCAACTGTTACCCTGGATACAGAGGGGCTAACTGTGAAACAGGTGAATTTTTTTATTGAATCTTGATCAACTGTTGTTTTCTTCAGTTTATTTATTACCACATAATAAGGGTGGGGGGTGGGGGGTAATTTAACGTGAATATCTCAGTTGATTCGATACACAAGAGCATGCTCTACGTAAGTACAATTTCTAAAGCCAGAGACATTATTGAAAAACAGGTTGATGAAACAAGAATATCAGCATTCTCGTTTAAAATCATCATTTCTTAGATTCTTTGGTCGATGCAATGACCTTTTCCGCAAAACAATTTATTATTGAGTCCAATGCTGACGGACGTTTTTCATACTTATTGTTAGTCCATTATTTTTACTGACTGATTTCCGGATTGACGACACACGGCGGGTGTGATTTTTCCATGTCACCTGATCCTACCTCTGAGTTTAAGAGGTCCGTGTTTGCTCTTCTCCTTTTTTGTATTGTTTTATGGACTTGTGATCTTGAATACTGTTCTTTATCTCCATTTTCATCATATCTGTATTGGTGGTCAGACAAAATTAAACTGACTCGTTGAAATACAAAACTTTGAAGTCACATAAAAATGCGACTGATGTAACATCATGGTTATCTTTAATTAATTTATCATGTTTTTATTAGTTTAGTTAATTTTTTTGTAGTGTTGAATCCATTGCCATCTTTAGTTTCTTTTAAACCATATTGTAAGAGGACTTGAGAGGAATGAATATTTTTATTGTCAAATAACAGTTTCTACTACATTTAACATTTAAATAAATGATTACCAAACAGTTTAGTTTTTTCACAAAACATTTCTTTTTCAGATATAGATGAATGTTCAAGTTCCCCTTGCCTCCAAGGCACTTGTATTGACCTAGTCAATGCCTATAAGTGTGTATGTCGACAAGGTTACAGTGGAACAAACTGTGAGAAAGGTAGGCTTCAAATGATCCGATAAACCACGCAATGTTTCTCTATTTTGTATTGTTTTATGGAGGAGCTTGTGATCTTAAAATTATTTTACTTTTTGATAGGACACATATTTTGGGTTTCCCATATCAAAACATGGACACTGCCATTCTATCCATAATATTCCAGGTACCAATCTCTTATCCGCAACTCCTCCTGTACCACTGAATTAAATTTCATGATACTATTTTACTTTTTGATCTGCACTTCATGGACTTTGCCTTTATAATTAAGTGGAAGGTGGAAGGTGGGGTATCCTTTTTTGTATTGTTTTATGGACTTGTGATCTTGAAAACTGTTCGGTATCTCCACATGTTTCATATCTGTATTGGTGGTCAGACAAAATTAAACTGACTCTTTACCCAGTGACAGTGATCTTTGAAATAAAAAACTCTGAAGTCACATAAAAATGCGACTGATGTAACATCATGGTTATCTTTAATTAATTTATCATGCTTTTATTAGGTTTTAGATTCTTAGAAAAATCAATTTGACATCTTTACTTCACAGTAGTGAATGAAAATTCTTAAATATAAAATTGGAAAACTGTTAACGTTTGTACAACTTAGAAACTTAAATTTGCTATATCTATTTGATAGTTTAGTTATTTTTTTTTTTGTAGTGTTGAATCCATTGCCATCTTTAGTTTTTTTTTTAAACCATACTGTAAGAGGACTTGAGAGGAATGAATATTTTTCTTGTCAAATAACAGTTTATACTACATTTAACATTTAAATAAATGATTACCAAACAGTTTAGTTTTTCACAAAACATTTCTTTTTCAGATATAGATGAATGTTCAAGTTCCCCTTGCCTCCAAGGCACTTGTATTGACCTAGCCAATGCCTATAAGTGTGTATGTCGACAAGGTTACAGTGGAACAAACTGTGAGATAGGTAGACTTCAAATGATCCGATAAACCACGCAATGTTTCTCTATTGCCAACAAGTTTAGATTAAGAACCCTATAAACACTGCACACAAGGTGGGAAATGGTTATAATTTTTGGGAGGAGCTAGCTATGCATACAAACTTATCTGCTCTTAAATCTAAAATAAAAAAGAAAAGACATACAGTGAATTACCAGATTTTTAATCTGTTCAAACATATTTCATATTTAAATTGACCAATATAAATAAATTGAACATTATAAAAATATATTAGCCCATTTAAGGACCATCTCTACATTTATTATTGTAACGTTTATTTCAAAGATTCTGGAGCTCTTCCCAGGCAATAAAGGAATAAATTAAAAAATCATTAAACCTTTTAATCGAGGATTTTAGTTTGAAATTATTTATAGTATCCAATTCTGTCCTGGAACGCCAACAAGTGCAAGGTGGGAAATGGTTATAATTTTGGGAGGAGCTAGCTATGCATACAAACGTTCTTAAAAAGCTATGCATACAAACGTATCTGCTCTTAAATCTAAATAAAAAAGAAAAGACTAAGTTAAATAGTATTTATTTACTTGCAATAGAACACAACTTCTCCAAAACCTTATAAAGGCACATAATACTTGTTAAGCAAGATTTTATTCCTCACCTTCGCTAACTAGTTGAAACCTTTCGACTTCAAACACGAACTGACTAAGAACTCTGCCTCTACTTATATACCCTTTAATTATCACGTGGTGTCTGAGGATCGATAGGGTGGAAATAAAAAAAAGTTCATATCATTAAGCTTCCGAAGGACAGAATGGAATAATTGATTTTGATTCAGAATTTCGCTTCATTATACTCTCCGCTTGAAAAGTGAGAGTGTATGTATAGTAATAAGGATGTCCGTCTGTCCGTTCGTCTGTACCTTCGTATGTCCATCATACGTATAAGTTACGCTATTGGGTTTCTCATCTCTTATCCACAGCTCCTCTTGTACCACTGAATGAAATTTAATGAGACTTTTAAAAAAAATTTGATACATAATACCATTGTGCATCTTTTATTTTACTTTTTTATCGGACACATATTTCCGGTTCCCCATAGCCAAACATGGACGCTACCATTCTCTCCATAATATTGCAGGGTACCAATCTCTTATCCGCAACTTCTCCTATACCACTGAATTAAATTTTATGATACATGTACTATTATACTTTTTGATCTGACACTTAATTCGGGTCACCCAGAGCAAACATGGACGAAGTGGAAGGTGGGGTATCAGTGAGCGCGGTGATCCCAGTACCTCTTCTTTAATTTCGGGATTTGGATTCTTTCTTTTAGTTTAACTGACCTAGCATTTGACATAAAATAGAGTAGTAAAAAACTTTGTTTACTTGTATTTTCCCATCTAAGCATTTAAAAGAGATTTTTTCACTATGAAATTATCTTTGAAAATATTTTTTTCTGAAATTAAAAATGAATTAGTTTTTTAAAAAAATATTCGCCTTCAAAAACATTTCTCATCAGCGTTTATAGAGTCCTTGAGTATGATTGATTGATTGATTGATTGTATGGTGTTTAATGTCCCTCTCGAGAATTTTTCACTCATATGGAGACCCCACCCCTTGTTGGAGTTGAGCTGCAAATTTTGTCCCATACTCGGCACTTATATGTACGGCCATTGAGCAGTGATGGATCTTTTCGTCCCAGCACCTGCGACCCGGGACCTCGGTTTATACCGATGTGAGTCATATGTCAGTCTCTCCCGAAGGACCAGTCTCCACGTCCCACAGTGAGATTAGAAAACAAAGAGTAGTCAAGCACAGACGTCCATTGAGACAACACAAGTCAGGAGCAGAGCAAACACGAACCTTTAAAAATCAGTGTTTGGATCAGGCAGAGCATCCCCTCCGACGGGTCAGATACGCTTCGTGTTCCTTGTAATGATGGGAATAAAATATGAAGAAATTATTTCTGTTTCAGTGCTTTCCTATCTGCAAATTATCTTGGGGATATTAGTTCATTATCTTATTATAAAAGCTAAGAATATTTCCCCAAATTCAGTGAAATTTTCTATGCCATTTTATTATATTGATTTATCTTAAGAGGCAAATGAATGCTAAAGTTCACCTGTCATCATGGATATTGTATAAATCTGGTCTTTTTCAGATATTGACGAGTGTTCAGACTCCCCATGTCTACACGGTTCTTGCATCGATCAAGTCAACAACTATAGTTGCGTTTGTCAACAGGGTTATAAAGGAATAAATTGTGAGATAGGTATCACTATTTGAACCGCTTAATCAATATCATTGACCATGCAAGCTCTTCAATTTCATTGCCGAGCTGAAATGGTTTTTTCACTAATTATTTTAATACATGTATGTTCAAATTGTGAAAATGGTATATACATGTACTGCTGTATTTTTTTTCTCATGCAATTTAAGTACGTTTCCTTTTTTTTCCCTTTTTTTCTTTTCCTTTTTTTTTTTTTTTTTTTTTTTTTTTGGGGGGGGGGGGGGGGGGTATTTTTCAATTAATTTCAGTGTAGGTACCATTTGTCGTGAATCATTATCAGAATTGTTCAAAATTATTTTCAGCTGATTTTAGGAGAAATATATTTAAATAATGTCTTTGGAATTTTAAGCTCTTTTAGATAGAAAGTTAGAAATAAATGAAATTTATTATATTATTTTCTCTTCAGACATAACACTTTTCGAATACTTTTACTTATCACTTGTAATTATTTGTTGTACGTATTTAATGTTTTGGTGCATCGGGTTTCAGATGTAAACGAGTGCCTTAGTTCTCCATGCTCTCATGGTCAATGCGTTGATAAAATCATCTCCTTTACATGTGAATGTGAATGTGCACCTTTTGATCTACTGATTTAGACAAGTTCAATTTTTGAAGTAAAATAAAATAAAAAAAGACTTTGTTTTGATCAAGAAATCTCTTTTTGCATTATTCAAAAAATTGTACAGGTATAAATAAATCAAATAATTTTAATTTTGCAGAAAGAAAAAATCAAGTTGTGAATTTAACAAAATCCGATATTTGCTTTTCAGATTGAAAATAGACGATTTTCCTGAGGTTTCACATTAGGAATCAAAGCCAAAAATCATCATCAAAAAATACACAGACGTTATAAAGTCGTAATGACCCTATGCTTAATTGCTCACAGTTCACGTAATCAAAAATATGAAATTTATATGAGAATTATTTTTTGAGTAATGCATATTTAAATGATATTAGAAAATATAATGAAGTGTTGTGTGTATTCTTTTTTAAATGATTAATATGTTTTATCAAGATACAAGAAAATAAAATAGAAAGAGTAATTATATATATTATTAAAAAATTAAAAATCGAAGTAAATATGAATTATATTTAGGGAAAAAATTATTACTCTGGCAAATATTTCTGAAATGCGAAAGAATAAGAATAAAAAAGTGTGTTTATTTTTTAATATTAAATAAAAAGTAGGCAACACCGGTTCAATAATCTCCCTTTTAAATCTATAAAATAAATTTTCTTTGAAAAATAGGTAATTGGAAAAACAAGAAATAATTTTACGTTTGTAAGTGAATCACACAGTCACAAACACTCCTGCTTTGGCTCCAAACTGTAGTCAATCAATCCATAAACATATAACTGTGTAAATGATAAACTATTCTGATATCAGTAAGCGACATATACAGCGAAAACAATGATGTTAGACGTGCTCCTCTCCTGATCTGTGTTGTCTGAATGGACTTTTGAGTTTAAAAACTGTTCGATATCTCCATATAATTTATTTCGCACAAAATATTTCAAAAGACGTATTATAAGCCTATAGAATAGACTTTAATTTTCCAATTGGCAACTTCCCTTACTTTTGAAGTAACATACTATTTTCTCTTGCATTTGGAGTTTTTGTCTCTTACTTGATTCGATGCGCAATAGATGCTCTACCTACAAACAATTTATTTCAGAAATAAGGTATCATTTTTTAAACATCTATCGGGATATAAATACGAATTGATCACGAGATCAAATTCACCAGTCTTCACAGGATTATATCAAGTGATCGACCCGCTTCAATTCCCATTTGTTATTTATCTCTTAAATATAAAATGAGGTGAGCTACTATCAAATCAGTTGATGATACAATGATAACCTAACATGATTTAAGCATGTGGGGATATATTTAATGAAATGTTTAAAGCTCAGCTCCCAACATACGGTCTCGGGCGTATACTAGTATTGACTCCTTGGAACACTAATGTGGGATCAGGTCCCATGGAGTGGGAAGCATTCACTGTTATGCAAGATTTAAGGTTGTTTCCAAAGAACAAAAAACTTGTGCTATAAAATTTTTGCTAAGCCCTGTCTTTCCAGCTTGTTTGTGTAAACAGGTGTTGTGCATTGTTTCTGTTGTCATTAGAACGATTAATCCGCGTAATCTGCAGATGTGTTTTATGGTTTAAATTAATTAGAGTTAATATATATTATTCATAAACAGTTATCGATTTCAATACATATAATCAATACAATATATCGAATTATTTTAGTAAATTTAAATCTTGGATTCATAACTATTACTGGCAAATAAATATACTCAAGCTCAAATATTTCACATTTTATTCTATCATCAAGGTTTTTCAGTTTATTATTCATGCACAGGACAGAAAAAGAGAACAACATAATTTCTAAACAATGCAAAATGCCATGGTTTAGCTGGAAAAGTTCTTACATAAACGATATCTTAATTTGAGATAAAAGATTAGATTAATCATAAACTATATGATACCAGATAAAATTATACCAATTTCAAATAAAAGAATTATAAAAGATACAATGATATCGACTATATGTCATTTAACGCATTGCATGCGCACGCACGTGCATTCACATGGAAGATGAACATGACATGTTGTCTAAACCATTAACATAACTTTATATCGTGAGAATCAATAAAAAATCATTAGAATATAAATGTTACCGTTTTTCAAATATATTGGTCATTTTGCGGATTTCGCGCACCCGCGTGCATACAAGCATGTCCTTGCATTCAAATATGATAGTAGCATAATGTAGGAATCCATTATACCTATTCATAATTTATGCAGAATTTCATCCCCTTTTGTTGAGAACTTAGAAAGTTATAGACATATAAAGTTTCAGCAAATCAGATTGCAGCATACGTGCATGCGTATGCTTTCAGGATAATTCTTATATATCATGCTCTAGATCTTTATAGTGTTTAATTATGTTTAAAATTTCAAACTTCGTTTGGGGAACATAAAAAAGAAAGGAAACAAAACAAAAAGAGCATGAAACATCGAAGGCAAGGGAGATAATGAATACTGGCAGTATATACCTACAGATAATATAAACCCTATACTTATCATACTAAAAGTGACACCTCAATGAGGCGCAATAACTTAATATTTTTAAGAAATCAAAGATTACTATAATCCCTACAACTAACATCAATCCGCAGACTCCGAAGTAGCCGACATCTTTAGCAGACGGTCGCGGGTTTTCAGCACAGGACAATTTTCGTTTTGTTGATGATAGTTCTGTCTTGTTTAGAGATAGTTTAGACAGGCGTTCGTTCAAAATCTCATCGATGCTGGCGTTACTCTCTTTGCACAAGCATTTACACAGGGGTTCTCTTGTCTCTGTGGTTGTCGGGGCAATAACAGAAGTGGAAGCTAAAAGAGCACCAGTCTCAATTACAAATTTTTTTTTATTTCATTAATACTTGAGTAAAACTATTTTTAGAATAAATACTTTTATTTGAAGAGTAGTGTTTGGAAAATTACCTTCCGGCATATGTTCTTCCGGTTCCATTGGACAACTTTTCCATCCGGATAGACAATATGAACAACTATCTGAATTTGTATAATGCCACTGAATCATGTAAGAGCTCACGTCAAAAAGTTTACAACGAGATGTAAGGTTCTTGTATGTAAACACTGTACACCTGTCGGCATCTTTACACCGGCGTAGACAGTAGGAGAAAAGAACAGGTTCCAATGTATCGTAAAGACGGTAATAAGTCCAGGAAAGCTCGGTTGTACTGTAGTTAAAGGTACATGCTTCTTTGGGGCCTTATTTTAAAAAAGAATAAGTAAAGTTTATGATTAAATTGAAACGTAAAGTTACTGTAAATTTTAAAATTTTATTTCTTAAGGAATCAGTTCATTAAACTTTTTTTTGCAGAGCAAACAACACGAAAGTATACAAGCTCAATATATCTGTATCAGGAAATGACAATAGCATTCATTGAGAAATTACAAATGGTCGATAAAAAGGATATTCTTCGGGAGGAAGACACTTTTAAATCTAATATTACTTGCATAAATAAAGAATAAATCTTACCTCTGAAATCCATCTGATCAAGCATAACTATCATCAAGATGACCAAGACCTGAAATATACATTGTAATATGTATTGGGACTAACTGATGACCTAGATTACAATATAGAACTTGTAACTTGTACTTTTAAAATAAGATAATTTAACCTACCTTAAATATATTTTTTCTCATTTTTCATAAGACGTGAAGCAGATGACTTGTCATTAAAATAATAACTATTTTTCATTAAATGTGATAAGCAGACCATTGTACGCTTTGTTTGCTTTACATCTACACTGAAATGTTTTCGTATTTACAAATTCCCAATAAAATACGAATAGCTTTTACTGCAAAATAAAATAATGTAAAAGCAAACATAACCTTAAAAAGATTGAATGTGTATCCTTAACAATTCAATCTGCCATTTTTTAAACAAATATTTAGAAAAGCAAGTGTTCTAATTGCCTTTGATTGGAAGTGGAGTAAATGTGATCGACTTTATTTATACAAGTTTGTAAGCAGGAAAAACTCTGCATCTGGAACAAGTATACGAAGGTACGTATACCTGTACTTTGTATCCATGACCAGAATATATCTGCAGATGTCCAAAAGACCAAAAGAAACTTATGATTATAACACTTTCTGTGTTGTTTCTTCCTTACGATGTTATAATAAAAAGATTTTACAAAGACTGGGATTTAGTAACTAAGAAGTCTCAAGAAGATAGCTATTAGATTTGTAAATCTTCGATCTTTCTTTATGATTACCCATTCCTCTCTGATTACTAGTATTTCTGGGAGCATTGTCAAGTTCAGAAAAATTACCTTTGGACACTTATATTCGGACCTTCCCGAAAATACGTTCAGCAGTGTCATAGTACATTAACCCTTTTTAGTGCTTCCTTTGGGTGATTGTACAGTCATGTATTACTAGCCCTCTTACGTAAAAAAAACTATAAGACATGTATGGCACGCCAAATTCACAAACTTGAGCTAAACATAGTTTCACAGTCGATAAACTAGGTTTATCGGTTGTAAACTATAGTTTACGGACTGTAAACTATAATTAACAACGTTAATCTATATTTTACATCCGTAAACCATAGTTAACGCGATAATCTATGTTTCACAACCGTAAACTATACTTAACACTGAAAACAATCATTTGCGATTGCAAAACATAGATTATCTGATAAATACAGTTTCACGATTTGTAAACTATAGTTTACAAACCGTTAACTATAGTTAACGATCTGATAAACATAGTTTCACGATTTGTGAAACTAAGATTAACAACTCTTAACTATAGTTTACGATTGTAAACTATAGTTTACAAATGTGAATCTATGTTTATCAACAAAATCTATTGTTAACGCTTATTACAGACAGATAAACTTAGATTATCATTCGTAAACTATAGTAAACAACCATTAAATATAGTTTTACAGATGAAAACTATACTTAACGAATCGTTAACTATAGTTTACGGTTTGTAAACTATAGTTTACAGTTGATAAACCTAGTTTATCAAATGTGAAACTAGGTTTATCCCATTTTTGTGAATTTGGCGTGCCATAGACATGTTTAAACTTTAAAGCCTAAGTTTGTCTTTGCCATAAAAGGACGGAAACTCTCTCTGATTGCACATTTTATCATTGATCTTCCTTTTAAGCTATAAAAAGTGCACCCATTTTCGTCTCCATCTCCTCAATTTATCAAATCTTCCCTTTGGTAAAAAAAATATTTATTTTTAAATACTAGTAGATAAACAGAACATTAAACACGTGTTTTCTCCTAAGCATTTGAAAGGAAATAGGGCACTATTTCTTTTCCTTGGCAGAACTTTGTAAATGTTTTGATGATGAAACATATTAATGAATTAGCAATGTACCGGGTATGTAATTGTAAATCGGCATTTTACGAATTTACATGACTTACAGCATCAACATTTTAGTGTCCCTACAGAATTTTATCGACCAGATCGATTGCAATCTTTTAACTATTACATTTTTGAATTTCTTAACATATCTGAAAACGATACATAGTTAGTTTCTTTCTTGTGGAAGTTTTATAATAAATTCTGCTTCATACATATATTAATACGAAAATAGATCTCCTAAAACGGGGCGCAATTGGTACCCATTGGAATTCCATTTGAAGACCTGATCTTCGATCGAAGAAATGTTACAATATTAATAACAATAACAAAAAACTTATTCTGGCTTGTTTTTGCCTTTAATGTTAATTGTTTTTATGTAATAATTACATCTCAGATATCACACTAGAGATTAGAAATAACAACAGCAAAGTTTGCTCCAGAGAGTTTTCATTGGAGGCGTGATAAGAAATAAAAGCAATGGCTTGATGCTAAAATTGATTATCCATGGCAAAGGATTGATCCGGAATATTCTAAACTCAGATGATGTTGTGAGCTGTTTCAACCAGTCAGGTAAGTCGGAACCCCAGATAAGATGTACAGAAATAAGGACAACTTCCTGAAAGCATGCCAGATTAATTATAGTCAACATAATAGTTATGATAACCACCAGGCTTTTCTTGACATAATAAAAATTATTTCTGATTTTTAGACGCATAAAGTGAAGCATGAAGCTTGGAATAATGGGAAGTGACGTCAGAACTAGTCTTAGATATAGGTGCGCTGTGGAGAACTTTATGACAAGTTGTTGGTACTCTCCTGTGCTTGTGTAATTGTTCGAATTGATATTTATGAACAAAGGCGTCACAAAAGCTACACCAAGAGCTAATCCTATGGTGAAAAATATCGCGTTGGAAGTGATAATTTTGCACTTCATGCTTTTCGAGTTTGCTTCTTTTTGAAGGTGATAACGAACAACTGTGAGTAGTGTGGCATTGAGGCTTGACCATGTGGTTGTACATATGATGAAAACAAAGTTAACAGCTAACACGATATCGAACACAACAATGACTTCAGTTATGTATCCAGTGACGAAAAAGGAAACCAAGGCAACAGAGTCCGAAACAATGACACAAGCTAGAGCGACGAAGATATCCGAATGTAGCTTCTTGTCGGAAACAATCTTCACAAAGGCAATGAAATTCCCTACCATTCCAACACAAGCAATGACGACTGCTGCCAAAGCAAAGGCAAAGGTAGAGCCACCGAAACAAGCCCAGAGTTGTGTTTGGTAAAATCCAAGGCATCCATTGCGGAATTCACGGATGAAATAGTCGTCAATCACACTCTTGCCGCCAATGGGAAGTTCAATAGTTCCATTTGAAATACGGATAGTTGTGTTCGTATCGCTCGGCGATGTAGTTGATTCAAAAGTTGTTGTGAAGTTATCCATTATTTTCTTCTTAATTCAATGTCAATATATGGATTTTTGCTTTAACAAAATTTCCCCCAAGAATGTTAAAAATATCCAAATTGCTCTTCTTCTCTTTCCAGATACATCTTTTGAATACATGCAAAGTGGTGGGGATTTAATTTGACATCCGTTTTTAAACTAACACTGTGATGTTTACTACATGAATCACACTTTATAGAAGGAAATCCGCTCGCTCGATTGTTATCGTCCCTCGCAGTAGTTCTGTGTTGTCTGTTGATGGGATTACGGCTTCGTGCGTGGTTTCAACTGCATCATTTCCCCCTTTACAACTTTAATGCACTTCTTATATATAGTTATTACTCAAAGGTCACTAGGTGATAACATTTTTTCTCATATAGTAATTTCTCAATATCGTAAATATTTTTGCTAAACAATCGTATATTCGATTCTTTTCTAAGATGCTATGTTTACAATGTTGTCTAAACAATGGAGAAGTAGGAGTTTTGATATTGGTGATCTACTACAACATAGAGGCTCTGTGGAGAATGGGAATTTTTTTATCTTAAATTTAAGATCATTTTATAAAAAGGGCCACTGATTTGTGTGTGTGTTTGGGAGGGGGAGGGAGGGAGGGGGGCAAGGAAGCAAAATTTATTCAAATTTCTACGAACATGAGTAAAGGAAAACACTAGTCGTAGCCTCCACATCGACATTCTGATATATCGACGGCGTTAAATATCTATTACTAGTTAGCATTTCCATTAACGAAGACTCAATATATCCTAATATCCTATCATCGGGTTGTTTTGGCTGCTTTGTTGCATTCCAACTGCCGTAGGTCTTTTATATACTAGATTTGACTACAGGTTATTCTGTCTACCTAAAATAGACCTGATATAGATAAATAGGTCTCACGGGTATAGCGCCTGTCGAAAGGGGATTCTTACTCATTATAGGAACCTGATCCCAACTCTTCGAAATATAAAACTTCATAGATTCGTTTTGCCGTGTTTTTTTTTTTAAGTCCTACATGTACCACTGCCCGATATTTACATCTTTTTTCATTATACATTCTCAAGACTTTACACTCAACTGGTTATAGCGAGCGCAGCGAGGCGGCGCGAAGCGCCGCTCGCGTAGCGAGCTCAATAGACTAACGTGAACGAACGGAGGAACTTTTTCTGCAATTGTTCCAAGAAATTTTTATCTCACCGCGTGAAAAAATTCTAAACTCCCAATAATCCTTTGCGGTGCATAGCAACATGGTGGCTAAATCATAGCAACAACTACTAGAAAAAACATAAAAAATACAAACAACGATTTAATGCAATCTCCATGCCACAAAACTATCGTGTGCGTTCTAAGTCAACAGGACTTTTTATTTGACGTCATACTTTCGTCACTTACACGGCTCGGGTATTTCCGATTTTGTCGGAAATTTCCGAAAAGTTCGGAATCTCGATCCCGATGCCTAAAAAGTGATTTCTTTTTATTCTTTTCTTTTTTTAATGAACTTAGGTTAAGCAGTGCAAGTTAAAGCTGTGTAAATGTTTTTGATAGTAAATAACTGCGCTCGCCCCAACGGTCGCGCCGTAGAACATATTAATGCATTGATGGTTTTATTTTATAAATAATGCTGCTTCAGTTTTTAAAATCGCTGTTCTCAAAATAAAAGTTTTCGGGGACTTTCCTCTTAATAGCGAGCGCAGCGAGCGTCGCGAAGCGACGCTCGTAACTGCGAGCTCTAACGACAACGCCTGGGCGAAGAGAAAATTCGAACTACTGCACATTCATTCTTTAGAATTTTTTGCTGCAGTTATTTTGACCCACAATGCATCACTTAGCAAAGTTGCGTTCTCGCGAGAATGACGGCAAATGTTCAACAAAAAGTTTACTCGCCTTGATAAAATGGATGCATATTGAAGATAAATTGTAAACGTAACTTTTTTCATTAACTTTTAGCACTGTTCAGTTTTTTTCTTGGTATTTGTAACTTACACACGACGTCATGTGACGTCAGAGTCTAGACGCACCAAATGTCACGTGCGGTTTGACGAGCCCGATCTTAATTAAAACAATGGAAGAGTTTGCGCTCGCTCTAACGGTCGCACCGTCAACATATTAGCGAGCGCAGCGAGCGTCGCGAAGCGACGCTCGTAACTGCGAGCTCTAACGACAACGCCTGGGCGAAGAGAAAATTCGGACTACTGCACATTCATTCGATAGAATTTTTTGACGCAGTTATTTTGCAATGCATCACTTAGCAAAGTTGCGTTCTCGCGAGAATAACGGCAAATATTCAACAAAAAGTTTACTCGACTTGATTTAATGGATGCATATTGAAGATGAATAGTAAACGAAACGTTCTTCATTAAATTTCAGCACTGTTCAGGTTTTTTTCTTGGTATTTGCAACTTACATACGACGTCATGTGACGTCAAGAGTAACTTGTCACGTGCGGTTTGACGATCTGATCTAAATTAAAACAATAGAGTTTGCGCTCGCTCTAACGGTCGCACCGTCAACATATTACAGACGGGCAGGAATTAGACTTGGCTTCTACCTGTTCTGAAATATTAATGATATAAAATACTTGTCACTTTTTCTGCAAGGTTAAGTTGACATAAATTGATTTTAACTTCCCATGTACAACTAAGCGTATTCCGGAATAAAATTTGTTGTATTAAAGGAATTTTAAAATTATGTAGCTGGGTGCACTTCTCGTTTAAAATGGCGGAAAAACAAACTGACAAGGACGGACAATGTCTTCTTCCCATGTCAAGAATACGAACAATTATGAAAAGTTCGCCAGATGTCGGAAGCATTAGTCACGAAGCTTTGTTTCTGACTGGAAAAGCAACGGTAACATTATTTTTGAAAGCCATCGACTAAGTATATCAGCATTTAGACCTCAGCCTCATAGGCACTCCCCATCTTAATTGTTAAAAAAATATATCTCTACTATACTATGTTTATAGTATAGTAGAGATATATTTTTTTAACAATTAAGATGGAGAGTGCCTATGCTCAGCCTTGCACATGCACTTGTTTCGGCCACGATACTTGGGTCTTGCCTTGACCAGTCTAGTCGAACCCTCAAACAGGGGTATACCCCCAAATGAGGGTTTCCTTCCCTTAATGCAACACGCGAAAGTCAAGAACGATAACTCTTCTGATTTAAAAAATATATATATTTTTTAAAAATCACAAACATGCAAAAATGATTCGTCTACACCTTTGTTTTCAATTTAAAAAAAATAATAAATTACTTTTCGTTTTTATTTACCCTCATTTCTGAAGCACAAAAGTTTGTTTACAGGACAGAGGAAATTCTGACGGGCACAGAAGAAAGTGTCGAAAAATAATTAATAACATGTTCATTACACAAAACTTGTAATACCGGGGAACGGAATTATATGTAGTTTAACTTTAAACAAAACATTGTTTGTTTATTCATCCGTTTTATTTAATTATGGATAAAAAATCTAGTTGTATCAAGCATGGAGGACAAGGCACAGAATACGCTAACTTTGGGAGAGAAAAAGTCTCGATTTTTGCAATAAACATATATTTTTTTGCAATACAATCTCTTTAAACATCTTTCATCTATCAAATTTGAGTACATACAGAGCTACGAAATAATCCATTACTTTGCACGAGCATATTTTGTGGACCACACGTTTTTCCGTGAAAACGGCACTTTTTTGAGTGTCTGTGCATGCGCGTACCCCCGTTTGAAGGTACGGATTTCCTACTTCCGTTTACCCCCGTTTGAGGGTTCGACTAGACTGTTGACTTTCGATCAATACCAACTGAAAAGAATTCCCTGCCTGTTTCAACTTTTTGCTTTGGACATCCTTTTAACTCTATCTCTAGAAAACTTTTGTTTCTTGCCTTTTAAAGGTGTAAATCTAACCAAAATTAAGTTTTTAATTTTTTTCATTGCATTGACATATTCATTCAAACCTCCAAAACCAAGGAGTTCCAGCAATAGTCTGCTTTAAATAATTCATTCCCCAATGAATTCCTATAGAAATGAATTATAGTACAGCTTAGATTTATTTTTATAATTGATTTTTTTTTATGCAGGAGATGTTCGTTAAAAATTTGACAAATGTGTCTCGAGGGAAGAGTCAGGACAAGATGAATGTTAGTTACAAAGATTTAGCAGAAGTTGTCAATTCAGATGATGTACTACAGTTTCTTCAAGGTAAATTTAAAAACAGAGGTCAAAATATTGTTATTTTATTTGACAAAAGAAGTGGTTGTTTTGCTAAACTTAATTTAAAATTAGCCATTTTTACAGTTGTTACATGTAAAACATACATAATACATCATTTCATGTACGTTCCTTCTTTATATAGAAAATACAAAACAAAATTAAAGCTGGAGACCAACACCTTGAGGTTAAAATTGCGGAAGATTCTTACGAGTGGATACCACGTGGTATTCAATAGGGTCTGGATCAAAAGTAGTAAACTTAATTAGAACAAACAGATCACCAACACTTCGTAAGAATGCACATGTAAATTTATTTGGTTGACCGGTTTCGTTTCGACCAGAGACAGTCGTCATCAGAACCTATATGGAATATATATACAGAAAATAATGGAAAGAATAAAATGAATGGGAAAGGAAAGACAACTCTTCGATAAAATAACTTTTTTTTATACTCTTGATTTGCATTTAAAAACAGGTTAATTTTAAATTTTTATGATTAAAATGAAATCTGATATAACAAATTTACAGATATATCTAACTGATTTTGAGTCCTGTAGAGTTTAAAAATAATGAAATGTACATCTTTTAAAACAAATGTGTAAAGAACTCGAAATTTGATTTACTGAACTGACCTTATTTTGGGTAAGTATTTGTGTATTAAAAATTGTGAAAGATAGGACACAGTTCACAGCATAATAAGGATATTGTTAATTGCTAGTATACACAATTAACCCCATTCCCCTTTCTTTAAGATAATCAGATATTAAGAATTTAAAATCTTTTTTCATTGTACATGTTGTAAATGGCATCTTATCTTCATGAAAACTTTCTGATGGATTGAGTTCAAACTTGAATATACTAGACCTTAATATTTTCTTACAATGATAATTTTATTTTGCAAAATTTCATCATAAAAACCAAGATGAGATTATATTTATCTTTTAATACAGATATCATTCCAAGGAAAATCAAGGCGAGGGAATACTTAGAACAGCTAGAGGATGAGGATGAAGATTCCTCCTGACAGACCCTAAGTCCCCCTGAAAGATAGCAAATCCCCATGGCAATATTAAGAGACTCAACATGCATTGTATAGAACTGTGTCCATATTTCATATGTAGGATATCAAACAATGTTTTCATACAAATTCATTCATAAACTAAATAAATTATATGTAGTGAAAAAAGATGTGTTGTTCAAGGATGATCATATTACCTGTTTGAATGTAGAAAGAGAAAAGCAACTACGATATTGTTACTTACTTTCCATGTCGGGAAAACTAACTTTAAAAATACTCTGATCAGAAATAGTAGCAATTCATCTATATATTCTGCAACTAGATTCCATTGTTGGATAATCTATCATAAAGCCCAAGTTCTTCTTAGATTTATCTATTGGTTACAGAATTTTATTCACTTATCTATGAATGGTACCTGCTTTTAGTAAGAAGGCAAAGTTCAAGTTCAGGGTCAGAACATGGGGAATGTAAGGAATGTTAGAAGGTATTGCTACACAGAATAAAACAATTCAGTATAGAATTGTTACATTTTTTTCAGAACATGAAATTAAAAAAAATATCTTGCTTACATTAAATATTTTAAAATGTGTATGTTTTATGATTTATTAAAATGTATATATTTCATTTTTATGCCTCCGGATCGAAAAAATCCCGGGGGTATACAGTGGACCTTCAGATATCCGGACGCCAGATATCCGGATGCTTCAGTATCCGGACGATTTTTCATCGGAACGAAATTTTAAAATGTTATTCTATCTTGTTTAACTGGTGATTCAGATATCCGGATGCTTCACATATCCGGACAAATTGACTGGGAACCAAAGCGTCCGGATAAATGAGGGTCCACTGTATTGCTTTTGTCCTATCTGTGTGTTTGTCAGTCTCTTTGTCTAGCTGTCTGTTTCTCTGTTTGTTAACTTTAAGCTAGACCATAACTATTGAATGGGTGGGGCTATGGCTTTCATATTTCACAAGTGTATTCCTTGTGACAAGGCTCATTCATTGTCAGGATGCTAAGTAGACCATTTCTATAGGCTTACAGAGTAGATAAAGGTCTGTTCAATTTTGTCTTAATTTTCTGATTTTCCAAAGGACTTTGGTCCTGTATTTAATTCCTCATTTTGCTTTTATCTAAGTTTAAAATAAACTGTTCAGGGTATTTTTGTCTAATTTCAGAGATACTTGAGATAAAAAAAGCTTTCCATTTGTTTTAAAATTTATAGTCTAATGCCATTCCACTCTCTTAGTTGACTTTTCTAATGACCTTGATTTTTCCTTGACCTTTGATTTTTTTTTAGTCAAACATTACATGTATCAGTATATTCATGTTCTAAGATACACAGGAAATATTGGTGAAACAAACTCTGTTCTTATTTGGCAATGGGACCAAAACTCAAAATACATGTAGTACAATCTTCTGAAATCTATCTTTACTCCTGGATATCCAAAAGTTTTGTAGGTTGGGGCTCTATAAATCATTTACAAAGACTTTTGTATCCATTTTAATTCAGAATAGAAACTAAGTGCATGGTTATGACAAGCAAGGGTACCACTACTTAATTTTGAAATTCATGGCCTCAGGGTCAGGTTTTCTTGTGATAGGAATGGGCTCTATTGATCATGCAGTTAAATTTATTAAAAATTTTATTCTCCCCCCCCCCCTTGCATATGTAACTTAGTGCATGATCATGATGAATAAGAATTGAAATTTTCACAAACCCAGGGTCAAAGGTTCAATTTTTAGGACAGAGTTGTGTCGTTCATGTAGTATATATCAATGATCAATTGATAACACAATAAAATGCACTAAATCTGATCATTTAGCAGAAAACTTATAAACACTTTACATGTAAAAGTTTACCAGTCACAGGTCACTGCCTTGACACATTTGAATGGCTTCAAATTAATTTTGAAATATGTGTGTTATAGTTTACAGAAATAGTTGTAAATTAACAATATTTACATTCATTTTCAGTTTGGGGAGCAAAACAAAACGTTTTCAATGGCGGGGGGGAGCAGCACCAAGCAAAAAAGTAGCATAATGTTGAATTAAAAAGTCACCAGGCTTGCTTACTGATGGGGCACAAACATCAACTAGCTACATTTGCTACAGTATTATTAGTTGGTTGGTTGATTGGGGGGGGGGGGGGGCATCCGTTCCTGCGGCTATATAGAGACAAATCAATGACAAAAGCAAGTAAACAAATTACCATCAGAGTTGTTGCACCACCGCTCTGATCCGTGTTTGTCCCATTTCTCATATATGACCTATGCTCCTCTAACAGTTTATTTTGCTCCTTTACTTTAAAATATCAGTATTACATTGTGAATCCTCAACTGATTTGTATTAAGACGCGCATGGTCCTCTTGGTTACATTACGGAAAAATACTAAATGCTTAATTAGTGCTTTGAAATTTGAGGCGTGTGTCCTCCTTATAATTCATCATTAGCCAAAATAGCCAAGACATGGAATTCATGAATTGTAATTCCTAGAAATCTTCTAATTTATAAACAGAATGCATGAAAATAGATCAGCAACGTAACTAATCGTAGAGCGAACGTAGCTGGGAGGACGATCAAGTTAGTTATTAATCGCATATTGTTTAGAATATCCCGAAATAATATTCCTACGCCCTTCTTAGATAAAGTCTAATGCATTACATTGCTGTATTTATAGGACACGTCAGGGTTTTGTAATATAAGATTGCTGGTGATTGTCTAACGATCCAATACGTCAAAGGCACAAAGACGAAGCTGAGGCGGACATACATTGATGAATTAAAAGAATTGATCCCCGCCGAGTTTTGGTCCTCCCCGTATATATAACTTTACATTTAGATGTCCTTACAGAGGCAGATATCATGAATAGATAGACTCTTCTGATGAAGTCCGTCTTCCTGGTAATGCTTCCTTTCTTTGCCGATATACAGAAGAAAGGACGCTCTTGTCTCGAAATTTGTTACTTTCTCCAGTCAGAGAAGACAAAGTTTGAAGTACGTGATAGAATTTGTTTGTTTGTCTGTCAAAACTACTGTCTGATCTATGTCTTTTGTCCTTCGTTGTCATCGACATCGACACCTACAAAAACATCAGAGGTGGAATCAGGTGCCATGAAGGAATAAGCATTCCCTGCCGACCGGTCGCGCCTGCCTTGTGATCCTTGTCATGATCGGGTAATAGAAAATTCTCCATAGTGTGGAAAAAAATGACTTAACAATTTGTATGAAAAATCTCGGTCAACATTCGATGTAATAGAATTTTGGATGTAATAGAACTCAGGGGCGTAGCCAGGGTACATTTGATGTGGACGCCTGGATAGGCTAGGGGTTTGGGGGAAGCTGGTGAATTTTCGATGTGCATGTTTGACCCTTCTGATAGCATTTTTCTGATCTTTTTCGGTTTGTTACGCAGCCAAATTAAAGGTTTGTTCTTCCCTTGTACAAAATGCTGACAGTAACTCAAAAATGAGAAAATATCTGTCCAAAATCGAACCCACTAAAACAATTTCAGACTTTTGAAGCTCGACAAAATACGTATGGCAACATACGATACTTGGTTAGAGTAGTTGATTAGTTCAGACAGACCACGAAATATACTACTGGTTTTAAGGTAGTATTATGGATGTCAATACTTAAACAGGCTTTATTATTATTTTTTTTTTTTAAGTTAGATTGAATTTTTCCAATTTTTCGATTTTTGATGTTCATATATAAAGCTGAATTATGATTTTGAAGTCTCGCATGAATCCGATATTAGGTTAAAATTGGGGATGGGGGGGGGGGGGGGGGGGTCGCTGCGGTTGGAAGTTAATTTCCATTGATAGAAATTAATTTTTTTTTGGCATAAAATAAAGTTATCGATTGTTTTAAGAGAACCGACTGGGGTTTTATTGTGTGACATCTACAATAGAGAAACTCTTTAAGAATGTAATTACACTTGGAAAAAAAAAAATCAGCAATATTCGATAGTAAACCAAAATCCGGGAAAATCTTTTGATTTTAGTTTGGTGTATAATATCGTATTTCCCCCAAAACTGATTCTGTTGATTTTCATTTTTTATCGTTAATTCTAAATTGTTTCTTAGTATTTTTTTTAATTTCTGAAATTATAATTTACTAATATTTTGCAAAAATTATGAGTACGCTTAAAAATATTATACCTGTCTCGCTTTCCTCTCCGTTCTTTTCTTTTCTTTTCTTTTCTTTTCTTTTCTTTTCTTTTTTTTTTTTGAAAATGATGTGGACGTTTGTGCGTACAAACGTACGCCTGGCTACGCGCCTGGAACTTTATGTAATGATTATTATGCATCATAGTAATTTGTGGAACCAGCACGTTTCCGAACTATTTGGTAACACTGTTATTTGGAGCTAGTGAATTTGATTAAAAACAAAAGTCTTTGCCCTTTTGAACAAAAAACATAAAACAGCATCACCTAAAATACGTTTTTATTTCTAACATATATATGTATATAGATTACAAAAGTCTCTCTAAGGTCTACAACCCTGTAAATCAATTTTTCAGATGATGAAATTTGTTTTGCTATAGACGAAGAATTGGTAGTGGTTATAAGTATCTTGGAACGGAGGTGTTACTGCATTGCTTTATCCCCAAATCGCTTAAATATAAAATGAAAGTTAATGGTGACAGAATTTAAGCTCCGTCCGCACCTAACCATCACCTCCCCCTGCTCTATATTATTTGTAAACCAGAACACTGAGTCAACGTTTTCTATACGTGGCATAAAGAAGATATGTGGGGAGATAACGAACATTATTATCCTTCAGAATTATACAGTCAATCTGATTGGTTTAAAGCATGTCACGTGAGGTGAGACAATTCGTGATGTCTCCCTCACGCGCAGGGTGACAACTGTTGTCACCCTCCAGATGACAATGAAATAGCGTAAATGAGTAAGCAGGGTTACAACTGCGTTGTCGCCCTTTGAATGAAATTACAGTGGTTTAAGCGAGATAACTCTTATTTATGATTATACGTATGTAATATAGTATTACTAATATGCGGGATCGGTAAACAATAAATTCTAACGATGACGTCAGATCGAGTTGTCTGTTGACATATTTTAAAAGTATGGAATCAGAGCAGAGACGGAGACACAAAATGAAGGTTTGATTACTATTTTCTACTCTTTCTAATTGATAATTAGATTCTTCAGGATAATAAAACTATTATGGACTGTTTAGACGGGAGACATCACCAGTTATCAGGTCTGAGTAGGGTTGTCACCCTCGGGCGCAAGCGCCCTCGGGTGACAACCCTACTCAGACCTGATAACTGGTGATGTCTCCCTTCTAAACAGTCCATAATTGTATAGTATTCGAGTTCAAAAGTCCATTGATATTACAAAATAGGAGCGGAGCAAATACGGGCCTCCAAATCAACAAAATCAACATAGGTGGGATCAGGTGCCATGGAGGAGTGAGCATCCACTGCCGACTAGTCACAACCGCCTTGTGCTCCTTTTCATGCTCAGAGGGGGGATACGTTGTCAAATCAGTGTATAAATAATGGATAAACAATTATAGTATGAAAAACGTCAGTCAGCATTTGACTCAATTGCATTTGCTGACAAGGTCATTGTATCGACCATAGAACGTACGACGAATTGATGACTTTTGACGAGAACGTTGATTATCTTGCTTCATCAACTTATTTGTCAATAACTTACTAGACTTAAAATCGTGGGGAAAAGTTGTATATAAAGTCAAAAAATCTTAAGTGTTTTACTTTTTATGTCGTTGATTTTGGTAAAAGTGTGTGATTTCAAATGTTCCAAAAATTCCTTGGAACTTTTTAGTATCCATATCTGATTTACAACTTCTCGAATACAATTTTTTTTCAACAGTACTGTTGAAGTTTCTTCTTCATAACTGTTAATATCTTAGTGAGGAGTAAAGAAAGAGGCTTGGTTGAGCAATTTTTGGGACCTGCTATGTATCTAGACACTCGACAAATTCCACTCAAAAATGGTTAGAATTAAAAGCATACATGTACATGCATTGAAGTTTACCTTGATTATAGAATCACTTTCAAGATTGTTCACGGCATTTCTAATTAAGAAATGAGCTAAAAGTTTTCTCAAGATAGACAGACTATATAATTTCAAAAACCGGAAATAAACGACTCCCAAATCTTAAATTTGGCTGCGATATCAAGTTGCAATATTTACTCAATTTAACTCTAAGCTACAAAGCTACAAGTTTAACTTAAGCTGCAATCCTAAATTAAGCTTGTGTTTCAGTCGCAAATTTTAATCAGGTCGCAAATTAAAAATGCTTCAATCTTGAATCTAGCTGCAATATTCAATCAGGATGCAATTTTAACCAATCTTTACTGTAGATGCAATTTTAATCTAGCTTCAATGTTTAATCAAGCTACAATGAAGCAGCAAGCTTTATTTTAGTAACATCTACTGTCTTTAATTAAAGCCAAGCAACTGTCATTTATCAATCTGCAATTCTAAAGTAAGCTGTAATCCTTTATCAAGATTCAATCTACCTGCAATCTTTAATTTAGCTACGATTTTTTACTTTAGTTGCAATCTGGCCTCTACATTTAATCAAGCTGCAATTCTTATTTACAGTTGCATTCCTAAATCCACATGCAATCTCTTATCAAGCTGCCGATTTTTAATTGAGCTTAATCTTTAATCGAGTTACAAGCTTGAATTATGCTTCAATCTTTAATCAAGCATCAAAATTGTAATCAAGCTGCTATTTTTATTCAAGCGAAGATCTTTAATCAAGCAGCTTTCTGCTATATCTCTAACCAAGCTTCTATCTTGAATCCAGCTACAAGCATTTATCATGTTTATCAAGCTATACATATTTAATCAAGCTGTACTCCTTCATCAATCTGCCATAACTAATCAATTTACAATCTTTAGTCAAGTTGCAATTTTGAATCTAGCCGAATCATTAATCAAGTTGTGATATATCAAATAAAGCTGCAATTTCTAATCTAAATGGCATGTTTAAGCAAGTTACAAAATCTTTAATCAAGTTAAAATCTTGAATAGCAATATTTAACAAAGATTCTGTGAAAGTCTCATCAAAGGATGACTGCACTTAATGATATGCAAAAATTGCGTCCAAATAAACTTTTAAAACAGACATTTTTCTTTCAATTGCAGAAATGACCAACATGTAATCTACAACTTTACCTAACTACAATAAATAAAAGTATGTATTTACGATGTAGAAATCTGTTTTATAAGGCGGGGTTCGCCACAATTTCTTCAATCTCCGTACGATAATGAGAACGCCCACTTTTTTTTACTGACTTTATACATAGTCAGCGCATGTTTGTCTATTGTTCTCCAATTAACAGTAGTCGTATATTTGCACAAAAAATGTTGTGTTAAAAGGAGATTAATAGACAAACATGCGCTCATGATTAAAAAGAGAAAAAAACTGCTTCTCCTTACACTCGCTCTATCTATTGTAACCAAGGACTGTGACACGTTGAATATTATAATTCACCATGTGATATCTTTCCCCAGGTAATTTTGTGAATACTAAATTCTGTCACGTGACTTATTGGTAGCATGTTTTGTGCCGACTAGGAGACTGTACTCAAACACGTTAGATAGTCAGCCATCGATTTTAAATATTCTTTACTAACATGGATGGGCTCACACGCTTTAAACCTTTGTAAATACTGTACTTGTGCCATAATACAGAATAAATAGGAAGATGGAAAATAGATATCTCGTATATTTTAATACATGTCATTGTCATTCATCCAGTCTAATTTTAGATTCATTCTTAGGATGTTAGCTCCACCTCTCATACATACATAATGTTCAATCAAGGGCAGGCATACTCGAGCTCGTAAGCGTAAATGCTCTGTATTCGGAAAACCCTAAGAACAAAACACATGAAATTAATTACTGTATTGCAGTCTAAAATTATTTTTAACATTTAATTTTTGTACAAAACAAAGAAAAGCTGGAGACCAACACCTTGAGGTTAAAATTGCGGAAGATTCTCACGTTTAATTTTTAGGTCACCTGAGTAACTCAGGTGACCTATTGCTATCCGTTTTCGTCCGTCGTGCGTCGTGTGTCGTGTGTTAACATTTGAACATTTTCAGCTTCTTCTCTGAAACCACTGAACCAATTTCAACCAAATTTGGTGTACAGCATCCATGGGTGGAGGGGAACAAAAATTGTGAATTTCATGGTCCCCGCCCCCCTGGGGCCTGAGGGGTGGGGCCAAAACCACTAAAATTAATGAAATCTTTAAAAATCTTCTTCTTTACTCCTGGACATCAAGCAGGCAAACTATTGGCATGAATGTAATGAGCATTGAGTCCTCTACCAAAATTGTGAAATTCATGGCCCCAGGGTCAGGGGTTCAGGGCGGGGCTCTATAGATTATATAGTGAAAATGCATTATTTCTTTGAAAATCTTCTTCTCTGCTCCTGGGTATTTAATAAACAAATTAAGCACATAGTTATGATGAGCAAGACTGCCTCTTCCAGATTTGTGAATTTTATGGCCCCAGGGTCAGGGGTTCTGGTGTTAGGGCGGGGCTCTATAGATTATATAGTGAAAATGCATTATTTCTTAGAAAATCTTCTTCACTGCTCCTGGGTATTAAATACACTAACTAAGCACATAGTTATGATGAGCAAGAGTGCCTCTTCCAAAATTGTGAATTTTATGGCCCCAGGGTCAGGGGTTCTGGTGTTAGGGCGGGGCTCTATAGATTATATAGTGAAAATGCATTATTTCTTTGAAAATATTCTTCTCTGCTCCTGGGTATTAAATACACTAAATAAGCACATAGTTATGATGAGCAAGAGTGCCTCTTCCAAAATTGTGAATTTTATGGCCGCAGGGTCAGGGGTTCTGGTGTTAGGGCGGGGCTCTATAGATTATATAGTGAAAATGCATTATTTCTTAGAAAATCTTTTTCTCTGCTCCTGGGTATTAGATTAACTAACTAAGCACATAGTTATGATGAGCAAGAGTGCCTCGTCCAAAATTGTGAATTTTATGGCCCCAGGGTCAGGGGTTCTGGTGTTAAGTCGGGGCTCTATTGATTATATAGTAAAAATACATTTATTCTTTGTAAATATTTTTCTTTGCTTTTGGGTTTTAAGCCAATGATCCAAGTATATATATATTTATGATGAAGAAAGGTGCATCTAGAAAAGTGGTTATTCATGCCCCCAGGGTCAAAGGGGGGGGTGGTTACATAGCCTGAAAATAAATTAATGCTTTGAAATCTGCTCTTTGGTATTAATCAACCATTTTATGATAAAATTTGCAAAATTTTGAAATATATGGCCCTGGGTCAGTGGTTCCTTTGGGGTGAGGTGCACAACTGGTTATAGAGTGGAAGTGCATTTTCTCTTTGTTACTCTGATCTACCTCTGGGTATTAAGTAGAGTAAGCATGCTAAGTTAATAATTATGATATGCAATGGTGCCTCTTTCAAAATTGTAAATTGTGAATTTCATGGCCTCCGGTTTAAACACGAACCAAAGTTAATTGTTTGAAAGTTGTTACACAATACTCAGGTGACCTATAAGGCCCGTGGGCCTCTTGTTGTGTCAAATTGACATAATTCTGTAGTACTGTAAATATATAAAGGTGAAATTTAGGAAAGATTTAAAAGAAACAGAAGTGATCGAAAAAGACCTAGAACACAGCGTTAAGTGCAGTCATCCTTTCATTCAGTGGTGTGAGAGGAGTTGCGGATAAGATATGGGTACCCTAAAGCGTAACAGACGGACGTACAGCTAGACGGACGGACATTCCGATCACTATATACATGTATATACCCCCTGCTTTTCAAGTGGGGGTATAATAAGGCTGAGATATATGTAAACGGCACCCATGCTGTCAAATTCGTTTGAAAAACTAAACCAATACTTCATCCACCAAATATCAATGTGCACTTTTATGAAAGGTATGTCACTAACATGACAGAACATTGCATTTAATAGGCCTATAACATTCAGTTTTTTAAAAACTGTAAATAATTTGGTTAGAAACTGGAGGTGCTGTGAACACTAGTACTGAGCTCACTAAATGATACCCCCACTTGGATGTCCATGTTTTGCTCTGGGGGACCCGAAATAAGTGTCAGATCAAAAAGGAGAATAGGTCATAGTGTCACTGTGCACCTCTTATTTTACTTTTCTGATCGGAAACAAATTTCGGGTTTCCCATAGCAAAGCAATGACACTGCCCTTTTATCTATAATATGGAAGGGTACCCATCTCTCATTTGCGACTCTTTAACAATTCGAGGTAATGTTAAACTAGATTAATAATTAGCCTGCAAAATTTTACCAATAACTGAACAATTCAGTCATGTATCAGTGACCTCAATTTTTTATGTAATATATATGTTATATAGTGCACGATACTCACCATCAGACAGTCATGCAGATTATAATAATTTACTAATGCAAAGTAATATACAGTAAAGTAAGGGAAAAATACCCAGGTATTACTAGAGACACCCCCCCCCCCTCGACTCCAAAAACGCCAACTTCTTGTTTTAAAAGGTTTAGGTTTTGTTTCCTTGTCAAAGGGTTTTTGGAATGGATTTCTGTTTTGTTTTGTTTTTTTTTTGGGGGGGGGGTGCATGTGGACTTTTCCTAGTACATGGAATCAAAATCGTAAACGGACAACTTAAAAACTTGTCATAATAAGAGAGATTTATTATTATTATATTGTGTCTATCTTTTCATGTTTAAAAAAGCAATTTTAAAAATTATTAGTGTGCTTATATATTTTTTACTCATTTTCATTTAAATAATATAAGTGTTAAAATATGGATAGCTTTCTGCAAATATTTTCCACCTTGCTATCCCTAGAGAGGAAAAAAAAAAACACCTGTTAAAGAAAGCAACGCACGTACATCTAATTATCCGAAAGAGTGCGCGTGGCAGAAAAGGTGTACAGTGTAAGACCATGGTACAGCTGCTTATAAGTGCAGATAGGATTACTTCTACAGACAGTGAAACTGGCTTATTATTTAGTAGACACGAGCGTATTGAAACATCCGTTTGTGTTGTATTCCGTGAAATAGTTTGTATTGAGTGAAAGAAAAACATTTCCCCTCTGTTGGCCTCTAAATTTAATCAAGATACAGTCGAGAAATGCGTGGGCGGAGGCGAGCTCCACAGTTGCGCGAGTTACTCTTCATTAAGGAGATTGAAAAGCTCTAAGTACCGATTGAGGAACAATTTTCGTGCTAGCAGAAACCTTAAACCAGTACGGATATTGGGGGAAAGAAGGAACTATAGTTCAGGTATGTGCTGATTTATTTTATTAAAAGCATAAGGTGCAATAATAGTATCATCAGAGAAGGTATAAATAGCACATCAAGTACGGCGACCTCGGGGAAGTATTTAGACATTTTTTCACGAGAGTTTGTTTACATGTTCAATGCTAGCCGTCCAAAACTACGAAAATGGCATGCTTTTGTAACAAGAAGATGCGAGGGAGTGAGTATGGAATTAATTTTCTCCGTAATCCGGTAATTTAAAGGATTCATTGATTTTTTCTCTTTTGTTTATGCGGGGAAACAGAAGGTCTTGTATATATCTCAGTGCATAGCGTAAGCATGTCTAACCCCGTCATGTTTTGCTAAAGATTTTCTTGAAAATAACAATGATTTCAAGGGTCCATAACTGATGGTAATGAGCAACATATGTAACGGGGGTTTGTTAAATAGAAAAATTCATCTCTGAAGTTGAGAATTATCTTTCTATAACAGATAAATATGCGATGTGTATGATAAAAGAAATCTAAATACATTGCATGATAATTTGATGCATAATGTGGCATGGCCATTTAAATTTTTTTTTTAGGTAATGTTTGATACAGGCCTAATCAGTTTAAGTATAAAAATTTGAAGTGCTCATTAAAATCATTATATTTTACGAATTGCTCCCTTGTAATTAACCTGGACCAATAGGACAATATCACTTTTAATAATGTGTAAACGATGGAATCTGTAGAATGATTTATCTTTAGAAGTCTACCACACTCCACATCTATAGTTTACTCATCGTTGATGTAGTTAACGTGACATTGATAAAAACCAAGTATCAATCAGACCACTATTCCTGCAGCCTTAACCAGTAATCTCAGTCACATATCAGCCAAACATCCTGACCATCTCCTGAAAACAGCTAGAGAACTGTAATTAATAAATAAATCTTTTAATTATAAAAATTTCTCCAATTTCTGAAATCGAGCTATTTTACTTTTTATAATTTTTTTTTTTTTTGAGATTAAGGGTAGACTTTACTTTACCGGTCCCCAGATCCGCAAGATCCTCGCGCTCATTGGACTATGATGTAACAATTAATGACATCACTCAACTGAAATGGGTTAAATTTGCACACTATTCGACTGATTATGGTTAGTCTTGCACCCACCTGAGAGATTAAGATTAGTCCTTGCACTAGTATTCGACTGATTAGGGTTAGTCTCGCATCCATTTGAGAGATTAGGGTTAGTCCTCGCACATAATTTGACTGATTAGGGTTAGTTTAGCATCTGCCCAGGAGATTTCGTCTGAATGTCTTAGTCCTTGCATACCATCCGATGGATTAGGGTTAGTGATTCGTTCTTTTAGATAAGTTAAGAAATTCAGTTCTTTCTGTAATTTTTCCAAGATCATAATTCAGCTTCAAAGGCATTTCGTCTGTTTGTTTACATGGAAGAATGGCTAAGTCCAAAAGAAATGACACTAAGCATACGCCACACGCGCTTCGTTCAGAATTTTTCTTTGTCGATTTTTTCCATGAATAAACAATATTTATTAATTTTTTTCAGAGAACAGGGTTAAAAACTTTGTTTAAAAACGAAGTTTTAAACTAAACCTGTAGAATTCAATTTTGGGGTCAAAAGGCCAAAAAACCTCTTATTTAAAATTTCTTTTTGATCGTTCACGCGATCTCATATATACCAAAGTCACTTTCGGTGACACTACATTTTAGCGCATTTTTCTGGGGACCGTTAAAGTAAAGTCGTTCCGAGATTAAGAGTTTTTTTTTTTTGATATTAGTGTCAACAAATATTTGCTATTTTGCAATATGAAGTACTGGCATTAAATGAAATTACAGGTTAAATGAGGTAGCTTGGCTTCAAATTAACTTCCTACCTCATTTTAAGAAAAGGATATGCATTAATTTTTATTCAAATTAATTCAAAGACCAATTAATTTTGCAATTGCAATTTTTGAAGAAATATGCAAATTTTTGGAAACTGCAGAAAATGCTCATAAAACAATTAATTAAACTTGCAGAATATGTCATGTAATTGATTATGGAAAGATTTTGCTACAGAACTGTAGCTCTCTGCTGGAGAAAATTCGGACAGATAAAGCAGAGAGCTACAGATCCAAGCGTTGTAAAAACCTTCGATTTATGCTGCCACTTTTTTGTTGCTCAATTACGGTATTATTTCTAATATTGTATGCTTTTCACCACTTAAAAAAATGGTATACAATAATTAACCATATTCATAATAACTCCTTCTCCTGATATTTTATTAACATCCTGCTTGAAAAGGGGGAGAGTATATAATAATTGGGATATCAAGCTGTTTGTCTGTACATCCGTCTGTTACGCTTTGGGGTACCCATCTCTTATCCACAATTCCTCTTATTCTACAGGATGAAATTTAATGAGACTTTCACAGAATTTTTGTTACATAGTGCCATTATGACCTCCTATTTACTTCTTGATCCGACACTTATTTCGGGTCTCCCTTAGAAAAACATTGACTGTTATTATAATCATATGGGAGGCGGGGATATCATTTTATAGTAAGCTCAGTGCTCACAGACTTCGCAGACCTTTAGTTTAGCTTGCATTGGTTCCAAAAGGTTTGTGGTAGCGGACATCAAAATAAGAATTTGTTAAACCAACACTCCAAACCCAAAGGACTGATGCTGACCTTTGAAAGGTAAAAAATGCATCAATAATAGGAGTAAAATATATTATTAATTATTGGATATCTTTATATATTCTAGACTAATATCAAAGATAAGCAAAAATTACAGGATATAACACCTGAAGCAAAATACCCGAAGTGAGCGATTAAAATGTGGCGGCAAAAATCGAAGGTTTTTACAATGCTAGGATCTGTAGCTCTCTGCTTTATCTGTCTGAATTTTCTCAAGCAGAGAGCTACAGTTCTACAGCTTGGAAAGATGGAGTATAGAATATACTCATTATATTCTATCAAATCAGACATAAGAATTTTCTGCCCGTTTGGCCTTGCAGCTGGTGGGTTGTTAAAGATCTTTGATGAAAATAAAACTGATTTTATTTGTTGATGTTGGCCACTTTGTGTATCAGGTATTGTTTTTATGTTTACTCGTCTTCCGTGGCTGCAGACCTGTTTATTCTATAACTACAGTTACTGCTTTCTCCTTTCTCTCGTTTCATGCTGGATGTGATCATTTTAACCAATACCAAACCTTAGATAAGTAAACAGATCCAGTGTACATCTAATGCAGGGTTGTATATACATCTATAGGGTAATGTTCTATAGTTTGTAAAAAGCAGAATGATGATTGGGCATGAAATGGAAGACCTTATTTTTCCTCATGTTCAGAAATTTGAAGTTATTAAAGATGAAAAGCATTCTTAGTTCATAACTACAGAACCAATGCTTAAGGATATACGATCCTCAGCCAGGAAGGATAACTCTTTAATTTATAATTTAATTCAAAAAGTATTCAAATAAGGCTTGAAATTGAAATTTTTTCATGCAACAATTTTTATTATATGCCTCTACGTATGATTCAATGCTCTTTAAAGTTTTAACAAACGGTATTTAAAAAGTTGACATTTTTCCTTTATAAAATGAAGTAAAACTTGCAAATTTTAAAAAAGTCAAATTTCTTTTAATTCAGTCTTAGTTACCAATGTTTATAAGCATGATTTGAAATTAGAAGTGATTTACCTTGTTTTATTTGAAAGGAAACACTTCAAACACTATGCATATTGAAACAATGGAAGTAAGTAGGAGAAAGTAAAGTCCAAATAGTTGTAAAATTCATGCAATTTTCTTTAAAAGCCTGGATACCTATCATTTTTATTCCTAAAATGTATTTCTTGATCAATTATCAATTAAAAAATATGCAGTAGGTAGTTCAAATCGCATTTCCTGAAAAATTATTTGAGATTTACTAATTTTCCCTATATAATATGATTAATTTTAAAGATGAATTTTAAAGAAACACCGTGGGTAAATCCATTTTAATTTGAGAATTTAGAGACATCTTTGTGAACATTTTCAATTACTCAATGCCTGATTTTCAGAACCTGAGGATCGGATAACCTTAAAATAAGTTAATATTCGCTGTGTATCTATAGGGTCATGACTATATACGTACACTTCTGATTCTAGCTATTGAAGGCGTCTCCCCAGAGGTTTATGAATAATCCCGGTTACATGTAATATTCAGGTTTAAATGGCAGATCAAACAATTTCTTTTGTTGTTGTTGCTTACACAGAAATCCAAAAGAAAGCAATGTACTTTAAACTTCACATTACAGGGACTTTTTTAGCTCTCCTGTCGTTTGATATTATCGCTGTTTATAAGCGTTTGTACCTCACCATAAGTGGCTGTACCATTTGACAACACCCGTCCTTAAAACACCTTTGTAAGGAAATCAAATCTACCTAGAGGTATCTTAAAATCAAAGTACTGAAAGTACTGAAAAGCGGTTAGCATGCTTTCATCGAATATGTACAGTGTACAATAACAAAAAATGCATTGAATGATGATATTAAAGTAGGCATGCATATCTTTTTCCAATGCCATCAGCGAAGAAGCAGACACATTGAATTTTGTAGTACTTAACTAAATGGTATAACCAATAACATCCCAGACTGATGTCACAAATGTTTGTTTCAAAATATCAACCTGAGATTTTTAGTTTGAAAGACAGGAAGTTCAATTTCAAAAATTTCTCCCTCATTGTCTCCATTGGCGGCGTCCAAAAGTGCTCAGAACGAAAAAGAAATTATGTTGATGTTGCAAATTTAATTGGCTTACATGCTCTATTGATTCTGAAATTAGGTAACTGTAAAGGCTACTATAGCAAACAACTCAAACAGAAAATAAAATGATAATTCAAATTCTTTAGATTAATTGATTTGGAGTACTGTACATAGATCTTTAGCTGGCTAGTCTGGGAAAAACGGATGGACGAGCAGAGAATTAATTAATTTCAGAGAGCTTCAGTTTCGTAGGCTCACTGCGGGTCAGCAGGTGTGACCTGT